GCATATTTAGAGACCTAAGGAAAAGCAGGCACTCAGATAGCAATCAAATCACTCTTCTTCTTGTCTTCAATGCCGTTATCTAAAACTAGTTTTGGCTTGTCAGAAAGGAAGGAGGAGCAGAAACAGGATGTGAAATTGAGGTTATACTGATACAAGATTACAAACGTGGGGAAAGGGTGGAAGTGAAAAACTCGGAGAAGGACATTTGTTGAGGCTCCTTCTGCAGTCCAACACAGGGCACTAACGAGCGAGGATGTGCCGGCCTTCAATCAGCACGGAGGGGCAAGGAAAGGTTACATTTACAATCACAAAATCAGCACGGAGGGGCAAGGAAAGGTTACATTTACAATCACAAAGCGTGAAGCGATTCAGCTAACAGGACCAAAGCCAAATACAAAAGTAACTGTAGAACAAACTCACAATTGCACAGACCAAAAAAAAAAAAAAAAAAAAAAAAAAGCTAACTGAAATTAATACGAATTCACTTGCAGAAAGATGACTTATCTCAAAGTTGCAGTTTCAAGGAACTTCTTGTATTATGATTACAAGAACTAAAGCTAGAAAATAAAATAACGGACTTGCTTCTACCAACAGCAATTCTTCCCTGAGGTCCTGCAAAGGAATGGGAAAACCTCCACACGTGATAGAAAAGGGCATCTCCTTCTGTATAAGGGATATCCGTACACACAGCACAACGAACTTTCTGGAAGGATATGAAAATATAGCTAGAAGGAAGATCACAGGAGCACCAAATTGCCCTGGCTGAATTACTGGAGCTACTCCATACTGCCCACAAGAATGCCCATTAGTAATCACCTCACCCAGCCTGCACGTATGGAAAATGCGATTCAGTGTTCATCTTCTAATCTTGCTTTCCAATGATCTACATTAAGTTTTCACATATCTCTACAAAATGGATATTTCAGATCCAGGCTCAGGAATACAGAATACTTTTTTAAAATAAAGTTCCATGTACACCGCTTTGCAATACGCAGTCACACCTAATTCAGACTAACTGGATGACAGTACTTGAGGTGTTTTCTGGGACTTAGCACAAAAGTAAGCTCAGCCATTTTCATTCAGTACAGGCTGTTGTGATTAGTCATGAATGTCAACCAGCTGCCAAGTATCTCAGGTGTTTCAGATGCTCCTTCCATAAATCTCCCTGCAGGAAACACATGCTCACCCTTATTTCATTTCTTAACACACCAACTTTCCAGCAGCCTTCCCTTCCTGAGCCCTGCTTCCTGCTTTTCTGTGCACGCCCACTGCTGGCCAACCTTCCTTCCTCTCCCATGTTCTGACACCTGTGTGGCTGCTCCGTCCCACTCACAGTGCTGCAACTCGTTTTGTTCCCCGCACACCTGGTTGGAGAAGCTGGTCCTATCCTGTGTACAGAGGCATTGCACATCTTGATAAGGGATTACTAAGCCTAAAGACACACTGCACAAAAAAACGTACACAGAGGAACTGCTGCTAAATAGGTGATATTTAGGGTTATTTCATTTCCTCAGTGATGGTTCAATATGTCTTAAACCCACTGCATTTTTCTGCTAGTTTATAAATATGGGGATCATCTCAGTACCTTCGTCACTCCCAGGACATTCAGTCAGTGTTGGTACAACTATGGAGGAGAGGAGCAGACCTCTCAGTTGTGTAACAGCTCTGTAGCTAGCCTGACAGCCTGCAAACAGGAGAAGCTGAAGGACCCTTATGCAAGATTCTGAGCAAGAGTAAGACTTAGCAGTTTACTTTCCAAAGGAAAGAACAGAGACTGCAAAGCAATTAAAGCAAAAACACTGTTGTACAGCAATAGCTGTTGGAGAAAAAAATAAAAATAAAAGTCAATAAAATAAGCTGCTAGGAGCACACCAAATTTGCCTTCACATTTTATAAGCTGATGGCAACAAGCTTCAGAGCACCTCTTTGCTTACAAGGGGCTGAACTAACACTGCCTGCAGACACCAACAGCAGCCATCCTCCTGCTGAACCACAGCTCACCTCACACCCATCCCAGGCGGCCCAGCAGCTCCCATGCAAGATGCTGCATCAACCTCTCCCTTATATGAAGTATGCAAGACTGATATTTCAGTAACCCACACATGTTTTAGTGCAGACCTTGTTACTGATTTTGACAGAATCCTTGTAATGCAGAAGACTTGCATGAATATACAAAACTCTGGCAAGAATGAATTGAAATATCACTTCAGACAACAGATGTCACCACAATTGTTAACATGGCTTAGTGATGAACGATCTATCGGTACATACTGACATTTCTCAAAGTTTTGGCACTGAAGCCCTACCTCAATCTCCACATATTTTCAGTTTTTAAATACGGGCCCTGAAAAATACCCGAGCTGGCTGTTTAAATATCCTTCTTCCAGCACTCCAGAAGACACGAGAACTCTCACTCTAACACTAAGGACACATGCTTTGGCTGCCTGCATAGAACACCATTCTCCATCCACTGACTGCAAAAAATAAAGTCAGGATTTTCTATCATGGTGTTCCAAGTTAGTTAGACATTTAAAGGAGCCTGCAGCAGACACTGCACAGTCTAATTGATTCATTTGCAGGCTTAATTCTTTTACTATTTTTTCCTCCACTTTTTAGAAACTCCTCCTTTTAAAATCTCTCATCCTGACAACTAAATAAAGTACCTCATTATATTCTAACCTAACAGTGCTGCAGACAGACACTGGAGTGCATTTAAGCGCTCCATTGAAGGCTGGTTTAAGCCCCACAGTTTGCTATCCCAAAACAGAGGGCTCTCCAAACTCAAGCCTGAAAGGTACATTTTCCCAGAGCAGGATAAGGAACAGGGAAGAAACTCTAGAGGAACAGAGTGGAACCAGCCATTCTAGGAACGTCATCAACACTGTGCATCACCGTTTGGAGCTTTACATTACAAAGTTAATTATATACGCACAGGTAATTCTTTTCTCTACAACTTGTCTGTCTGAAACACATTTTTGGTAGAACACAAAGAAAATCGTGAAAAAGACTGTGCTAAGATCCATGTGCAACACATCTGAAACTGCTTCAATCCAGGCCAAACACAGTTGCACAATCTTTGAAAGTTCGGAGGCAGCACGACAGGAAATTCGTGATGCCAACTCTTCAGTAATTGGTTGCGAAAACAAACATTGGAAGCATTACGTACACAACAGACCACGGGGAGGGGGAGAACAGAAGAGGAAAGGGCTGCATGCACCATGAAGGGCTGGCCTGAATACAGCAGACATGGAGCAAATCTACTTCCTATTGCACCGAGGGAGTTACGTAACCACAGCAGCTAAAGGAGTATTTATCAGCTGGGGCACTGAGCCCCTCTTTCACCAGAAAGAAGTCCTTCAATTACTAAAAAATAAATAAATCAGAACATATATTGGTCACCCTTGGCACTGTAATCGGTTAGGCTCTGTCTTCTATGACATACAAGCATTTACATAGTTGGGACACTAGAGTTTTAAGAAACGTGTATTATTTCAGCAGAGCTTCCCGAGAGCAGAACAGCAGAGAACTTTTTTAAAACTGCATCGCATGCAAAGCAACTCCTTTTTCTACTGACAGAGGTCAGCATGCATTACTCCTTAAAATACAGATGACAGTCATGATACAAATTTGTACATTACGTTAATGAAAGAAATAGGCACGCCTGCTCCAAGACAGCAGCAGCACAGACGTACAGTCATTGCACACCCGTGTGAGAACTCCGATCGCACTGACAGAGCAAAAACCAGAACGGTCATCAGCCTGCGCTGCTTTGTTCACCTCTGCTATGCGACCGCTTGAGTCAGAACGTCAACGCGATCCGGACACAACCTCGTCTTTAAGATTAAACGATGTCAGCAGCCCAGCTGATCTGCATTTCACGATCAATATATTTTGCAGAGTGTTGCTATGAGGCAAGCGTTAAAAACCGAGTCCAACTCCGAGCTCTCCTTATTCCTGCACGCCGACCCCAGACTTTGCTCCTGCAGGCAGTGCACCAGAGACGCGCTGCCACTGCTAAAATGGTTTTTGCAGCGCCTGCCAGGGGACGCGGCAGCTCTCCGCAGCTCCCGGCTCACGATCCGTCCTCGGGTCCAGAAGGAAACCGGGACAGCAGCAGAGCTGTGCGGAGCTCGGGGCCTTGCCAGCCCGCATCCTCTCCACCCCCACCACCCAACTGCGAGAAGGCACTGCGAAATATGCCCAAATGAGATCACGCTGGGGGCTGGGACGCGATTATCTTCCCCTGTAAAAATGTCCCGGTGCCACCTGTCGTGCGCTGCAACGCCCGGCGCTATGGGGAGCGGCGCGGAGCGGCGCCCAGGGCAGAACCCGGCCCGGAGCCGCCACTCACCAGACGGAGCCGTAGGCCCCGGACCCGACCGGGGAGAGGTTTTGGTAGCGCTCGGGCACCTCCCACACCGTCTTGTTGAGCTCCTGGCGGTAAAACTTGGGCCGCTCCTGAGACATCTCGGCTGCGGAGCCCACCCCGCCCGGCCCGGCGGGAGGGGGCGGCTGTGCCCGCGGCTGCGGCAGCGCCTCCAGCAGCAGCGCAGCGTCCGCCTGCCTTCCTTCCTTCCTTCCTTCTCCCCGCCTCGCTCCTCCCACGCCGCCCCTTCACACCGCCGTCTCCTAACACCGACCGTTGGTCGCCGCCCAACCCGCGCCCTCCCCGCCTCACGCCGCCCGGGGCCGAGCCTCGCGTGGGGCGGTTGCTCCTTCCCCTCTCCTCTCTTCTCCTCTCAGCCGCCCTCACTCCGCCGCCTCCCCCTCCCCGCACACACGCCTAGCTCTCTCCCTCCTCCTCCGCGCTGCGAGGGGCGGGCCGGCCCCGGGAGGTGAGGGAGGGGCCGGCCGATAGGGAGGGCCGCGGGGAGCCACTCCGCCGCAGGTAGGACGGGAAAGACGAGGCCCCGACCCGCCCCCCAGCGGCGCAGCTCGGGCTGGACCGGGCCGGCCGCACCGCCTCCCCGCTCCCCGCCGAGGCCCTCTGGTTCGGTCCGGCCGCTCTCGCGAGAGTTGAGGCGCCGCAGGCAGAGATGCCCCAATATGGAGGCGATGCGGAGCGGGGGTGGGGAAGCTCTCGCGAGAGCGGGGAAAGGCGGGCTGCGTGGTCGCTGCGTTCGGTGTTACGAAGGGTGCGATGCTGTGAGGTGTTTCTGCCCACGCCGGCTAAAATTAAGGCGGCACAGCCCGTGTGTGGCGTTTTCCTGAGGCCGGCTTTTGTCTCCTCGAAGGCGTGCTTTAGGCAAAATATGAAAATCTATGAGAACGCTGACCTAAGGCAGCAGGCCACGCTGACCTGCCAGGGCCTTCAGCGAGGCCGAGGTGTTCTCAGGTGCCCGCAGTGCTGCTCCTGTGAGCCTAAGACGGTTTACTAGAGTGCTCCGTTCCCTGGGGGTCTCCAGGACTGTGGAGGTGCAGGGAGCTGTGCTGGTGCTGCTGTATCCCTGTCTGCCTGGACTTCAGTTTGCAAACTCGAGCTTCTTTTTAGCTTTCTTTGTTGTGTTACTTTACCTTGAAAAAAAGGGATTGTGCTCAAACAGCGACTTGTACTGAGCATGCAGAGCTAATGAACAAAATGTCTCTTAAACTTTTCTGGAAGACCTTTGTGTATCTCCTTTTTAAAAGGAGGGAGAAAACATGCCATAGGAATGGAGCGTGCCTGAGGTGTGCCTGCTGCTGGCTGTGCTTTGGAGTGGCTGGGGTGTGTGTGTTGGTGGGAATGCCTCCAGGGTGCTGGGGTCCCTGTTGCTCTGTCAGAAGCAGCATATCTCAGAGGTGCAAAACACCAGACCTGTGCAATCAGATCTTGACAATTCAGGAAACAAAAAATGAGGAGAAAACTTTTTTTTTTTTTTTTTTTTTTTTTTTCCCCAGGTTTTGGTACTTACATTACATTTTGACTAGACTGTCTGCTCACTTACTGCCTTTTATGCTTCTCATTTTCCTTCTTTTTTTTTTTCCTGTCAAAACTGCCTTTCCACATGGCACAGCCTTTCTCCTATGTAATCTTTGCACTTTCAGTTGATAACTCTGGATTTGAATTTTTTTTCTGCCTCAGCTGTCAGTATGAGAACTTCAGTTTACATCTGTTCTTTCACTGGACTTCTTACTCAATAATCACTTTGGGAGCTTACATCTTACCTAATCAGAGCAGGAGTGGTTGAATTCAGATCTTCCTGATGTTTAAATGCTGAGGAATGTGAGTGAAAGTTTTGGGGCATTTAAAAATCTGAATGGTATCAGATACCAATTTTTTACTTCAAATTGTGGCATGGTATGGCCTCTGATTTGGATGGCAATCTAAGCCTTTTTTTTTTTTTCCAGCACTGGAAACAAGGAGAGTTCAAACTGTTTCTCAGTTGTGATAGGTTTATGGAGACACAATGTATTTTCTTCCTTTAACACAGACCCACTTTGGGGATCCCATAATGGAGGGCATCCATGCTGGTCTTTCCTACAGAGCAGAATCAAGACAAATTCCAGAAGGACTCAATGTTCTGGCAGTTTGCTCGATCCTAACAGCAGCATCCTTCCAAGGATTTTAGTCTGCAGAGCCTTGCTTATCCTTGCTGTAGCTGTTGGCTTCACAGGAGCTATGCTGGGGTGGACATATGTCATATACTTGTTATTGGTTTTGGTTTTAATAGGTATTTCAGTCACCTTGTCTACTGTTGTCTCCAGTATTTGATATTCCTCATCAAAAAGAAAATATGGAACTAGACAATGATACAGTCCGTACCAGGCAGCAACCGGCATTTTACAGAGTCCAAAGAGAAATGTGGACTGAGGAACATGTACAAGCATTCTTGGAAAGAAACCTACCTTCCACCTTTGGTGGAGAGCCACAAATCGCTGAAAAGAAGACACAGCTGCGTTGCAGGTGAGCTGTATGCTGGGAATTTGACAGGTGTAAAAAAAAAAAAACACAAACTAAGGAGGCTCTTCCAGCCCAAATCTGGAAAGATGCTAATATCTTCCTGCAGCTTGTAATTAAAGTGCTGAATTGTATTGATTGATAACTGAAGCAGAACAACCAGTTGGAGAAACTTGCAGTGAAGTATACAAGAACAGCACTCCACTAGCCCCCAGTTTAGCAATCTGTAGGAGTGTTTGTTCACTTCAAGATAGTGTGAGGGATATATACATTTTAAGGAGAAGTTGTTAATATTTGCAGCCCCTCCAGTGCTTCCCTCAGTCCAGCTGTCAGACACAAGCTTTCACTTGCATTTTTTCTGATTTCTGCCTTTTGTTACTTGTGTTTCTTAAATTTCAAGAGCTGTTTTCTGTTCCTTCTTAGCTGGGGACATGGAAGGTTGCATAATGGTATGGATAAGATTGGCTGAATTGCTTTTGCATTATTTTGGAGCTATGTTCTGCAATCTCTGAGGAGAATGGGTGATGCAAATAGTACTGCCTATACAGTATTAATGTTTCCACAGCCTGATTTTCCCATCTGCCAAAATTCTCTTTTGGGCATTATCCTAGGGACAGAAGCATATCTTCTGCCAGAGGAGCCCTGCAGGCTCAGTAGAAGGCAGTCTTTGTTGATGACTTAGGAAAATTCCTGGTGTTCTTCCAGCAAGGGAAATATCATCAAAAATATGAATCCCTTTCATCAGCTTCCCTTTTAGTTTTGTTTGACCATGAATGCTTTTGGTTTTCCAAATGAATCTCTTTGGACGTGGAGTGGACTGCCAGTGGTTATGGCTGAGCCTACACTACAAAGTCCTCATAAGAAAAGTAAATTAAAAAATCTGATTCATCATTTCTCTAAGCTTTGTTTCAGCATGTATTCTGAAGGTATACTGAAACTCAGACTGTTATTTTGGGACAGTGATATGCCTTGAGACTCAAGTCTAGCTATGGGTGAGGTTCCACAAGGTGTGGTGAACTAATCTAACAGCTTGCTGCTGCCAAATGGGACAGGACACAGAAGGAAAAGCAGCACAGAAGAGCCAGACCTCTCTCTTTTGTGTAACTAGCTCTTAACACCAGCTCAGCAATGAGTGTGACTACAGCCTAAAACCATGGATCCTGTTTTACTGGCACTGTTGCAAAGGAATTTCCTGGTAATAAGTGAAGGCAAGTGGAGCTAGAGTTTTAGTTACTACTGTGCGTTCTAGTTTTTCATTTCACTTTGAAGACTCATTGTTGATTAATTTCTGCAATTGTGAGATCCTTTGGACTGTACATTAGGGTTTTTTTTTCTGGTGCTAAAGGAGATTGGAGTCAGAGGAACAAAATTAACAGAAAGGCTTGAATTGTGTATAATTATGATATGTGATCTAGAGTTAAGACTGCCACTCACAAATTCCTGATGCAATGAAATAAGTGTTGTGCAGAGGTCAATGGGAGAATTTTGCTTTAAAGTCATGGCTAATATTATTGGAATCTTTATCACTGCACTTGCTGCTTTATCAGAAAATCTTTATGCCCTCCCTCAATTCCCCATTTAAGACTGGTGTCTTTCTAGCTTCCTCATACTCTTTTCTCTGTTTCTTTTCTACTTCCCTATCTCGTATATTTTCTCTGTTCTCTATTTTGTATTCACTGGTCATCCCAGCATGTAATCACCTCAGACAATCAAATGATGGAAAGGGACTGGACTCTGTAATGCTAATTGGGGCTCAGTCTCCCCAGCCACTATTCAGGGTTGCCAGAAAAATTGGGCAGATACTGCACTGTGTATCTTTGGTTTGTGAGTAGAAGATCACCGCTGTGGTCAGGGGATTGAAAAAGGGAAGGGGGAGCACAGGGCTTTAGGGCTACTCAGAGTTTACCTGCTGGAAATATTGATCCAAAGACATTTGGGCAGAAAAATCATCTAGGTCAAGTCTTGCTTGCATTGCCATGTTAAGTATAATACAGCAAACATTTGACTGCTTTTTTCGGAGATGCAATAGGCTTGTCTCTTTTTTTTTTTTTTTTTTTTTTTTTGCCCTCCAGATGTAGCAGCTGTATGTTTTTCTTCTAGATTAGGATAGCAGGTATGAAAATGCTGTCTCCTGATTTTCTGCAGTGTGTTAATGAGGTCAAGTAATTGATGCATTCAGTGCTGCATGCTCTGGTGCTGACAGGGTATCATATGAATGGCATACAAAGTATTCGCGATTCATCTGAAAGGAATGCAAAGGCACAGGGGTGCCTGTATGGGACTCGTGTTGTGCACCAGCTGGATCTGCAGAAGGCAAAGCAGGTTCAGAGTATTCAGTGCCTGCAGAGATCTGAGAGTAGCAATGTGGCTTCTATTCCTGCAGAGTATGAGGTCATGCAAGAGGGCTGCAGACACGGTGGTCATGAAGAACTTTACACACAGCTTATCTTATCTGATTCTTTTCAGGTTCTCCTGGGAAAGTTTCAAAAAGATTATATACAAGAGGTTCCCTATCCTGAGTTGGCTTTTTTCCTATCAGTTCAGAGAGTGGATCTTGAAGGACCTCCATGCAGGCCTAAATGTTGGGTTGGTTCAGGTTCCTCAAGGTAGGCAGAGAGAAAAGAAAAAGCACTCTTGCTTCCTTTTGTACATTATCCTTTTCATAATGTGTGTGTTACCCTGTTCCTTCAGATGTCATCTGAATTATGTGGGAATTTTAATTCACAAATTCCTTAAATCATTAACTTATTAATTTCCATACTTGCAAGAAAACATATTCTGTAATCAAATGTTACATAGTGTAATTTTGAGGACAAGACACTGCCTTTTTTCATAAAGCTTCCCTCTAATTTAAGTATATAAATATATGCTAACAGCAGCATTTTCCTGTATTGCGGGAAAAATAGCAATCTTTAAAATCCACCCTGCAAAATCTGTTAGATTTTTGCTTTCTAGGGCTGTTAGGAGTTTGGCTGGCTGGCTTACCTCTACCAACAATCAATGGCTTCCTTTCTGCATTCTGCTGCTCAGTGCTGTACGTTGTATTTGGAAGTTCACATCACATCTCAATTGGTGAGTTTTATTCTGCTTTGCAAAATGTTTCTACAGGACTTAGAGATTGTGTTCAGTGCTGCTTCAAAAAGCATCTCATGTGCAGGCGTTGTTTAGGGGAGCATCCAGACTTCCAGATTCTCGATTCATTGCTCCACCTCTGCCCCTGAGGGCAGAGACTGCCACAGCTCCTTTGTCACAGACAGCAGTGCAAAGGGGGCAGCTAGTGCATCATGGAAGTGTCTCCTGCATAAAGCAGAGGGCCAGATCGAGCTGCTTCCCACTTAGCTCCTGGTTTTCTCCAGGGGTCGTGCAGTTCCTTGCCATGACTGAACTGTTGGTGGTTTTGCGTTCTTAATTTGTTCAGAAACTAGATTATTATGTGAGAAGGCCCTTATCATCATTGTAAAAGTGGATCTGTGGAGTTCTGGCCTCGTAGATAACTTGGCAGCTCTTTCTCAGACAAACCGTATTTCTTGGACTTTCTGGCAGTTCATTGTAGTGCATTCATTTTTGTGCTTTACATTAAAATCTTTTTTCTTTTGTGCATCTGACCAAGCAAAGACTTCGCCTGTAAAATTGTAGGAGTCTGAAATTTTCAGAGGGAACTTTTGAAGCTTTTGGTGCTTATTCAGAAACAGTAAAAATGGAATGAATGAAAATAAATTGTCTCATACAGCACATTTGATGGTGGGGCATAGAGATGGATGTGTAGTTTTAAGATAAATCCTTGTTGCAACACCTCATGCAGTTACATTCTCTCTACTCTGTTCTATTGTTTTCAGGTTCATTCAGCATCCTAAATCTAGTGGTGAAAAATATTCTCAAGTCCCTTGATCTCAACAAAACGTTGTCCTTTAACAGTTCACTGGTCAATTTTTCAGACCCTACACTTTTGAAAGGTTACGTGGAGACCTTGGCACTCACTGCGTCAGTGACATTTATGACTGGCGTAATTCAGGTAGAAGATGAAACTGTTATGTCCTTACTGATGTGTCCTTATGTTTATCTTTGTACAAATGTAAGAAGTGAGACTGCTTGTGTGTTCTCACAAGTTCTAAGCTCAGCACACTTGAATACATACGTTGTAGAAAATGGAACATGAAGGTCTCTTCTCATGATGTCTGAAAAAATGGGATAGGTTCAGATTTGTGTGTCCTTGATTAATTTAGCAGTACGTGAAGTAAATTACTTTTGTATTTTATTGGCCAACTGTTTTGTTCTTTTTTCGACCAGTTCTCCAACATGAAGACCCTTAGGTAGTCCTGCATGACCACACACACTTGATCTGAAGTGTTCCTATTTTAGTTTGGCAGCATCCTTCTTAATTGTGCATAATGAATATAGCTTTTCAAATAACTATCCATCAAGTATGGCAGTGAAAAGTCGTGCTTTTCAAATGTGGGAACAAGAAAGGCAGGTTAGACATAGATAATTATATTGCACCTCACTTCTTGTTTGTTCCATACAGTTACTGCTAGGCTGCTTCTGCCTGAAGTCTGTAACAGCATACTTGCCAAAGGCTCTCATTGATGCTTACCTCTCTGCAGCAGCATTGCTTGTCATTGTATCACAGTTCACTTTTATCTTTGACATTGTGCTTGACATCCATAAGGGCTCTCGAGACATTTTTTATGTGAGTAAATTCATTATTAGTGAAAAAAATAAATAAATGCTTGCTTCCTGTGGGATAAAGAAGAGAACAGTAACAAAAATTGAAGGCAATTTCAATATGTCAGTTGCTAAGGGATATTTCTGCAGGTCTCAGCTGTGGTTACATTGTCTTTCTGTTGTCTTGAATGATGAATGGATATTTTTGCATGACATGCAAGAGGAAAAGGGAGTATTTTTAATTACTTACGTAGCTTTATCATTTTCAGCATGTCTGTAATCATTCTGGAGCAAAGGTTAGGGAAAGAGGTATGTTTTTCCTCCATGGATCATTGTGGGCTAACTGTTGGGCATACAGTATCTATGACATATCTGACAAAGATGCAGCAGACTCCTAGCTAAAGATAAGTTAAAAATAAGTCTTCCTAATTTTCTTAAGAAAAGACAGACAACTAGAGAGAAAGGTGGTGTAGAGGAGGTAAGAGTGATTGAACTAGATCTGAGTTACTTGTGGCTGTCTTTCTCAACAGGCCATTTAAAATACTGTTTTGCTCTTAGCAACTTTCTTCCCGCTGAAGGTACTGTCGTAGCAGTAAAGGATAAGTTAAAGTGTGAGGGCAACAGGTCTCAACCTTCTAGAATGTAAAAATACTTGCAGTATCTGCCTCTGATCTTCTCTATGATGATTCCTTTTCAGAATGCGTTCTATTATTTCCTGGCTCTCCCAAAGTCTAATGCCACCAGCATACTGCTATTTTTGCTTAGCATGGCCATGCTACAAATCAGTAAAGCTATCCGGATAACGTATCTTCATAGTCCTGTTGCATTTCCAATGGAGCTTCTCTTGGTGAGTGTTCTCGATGCTGTAGTGATATTTGAGCAGTTCAGGAGTTGCTTGTCTGCGTTCCGGCTCTGAATGCCATAAGCAGCCTTTGTCGCTGAGCTTTGAGGCGTCTTTCACCGGAGAACTTCCTAAGTTTTTCCCCTGCTACTGTGGAAATAAGGAATCTCTGCCTACAGAAAGCCATGGGCACAAATCACGGTGAACTGCTGCATGAATAAACAGCATTGTGTAGAGGTGAAACCACCATGTTCCAGACTGATTTTTTTTATTTTTTATCTTTTTAATCTTTATTATGATGGTAGTAGAACTGTGGACTTGAAGGTTCGGAGTTCTGATTGAGTTATGTTTTTTTTGGTCTGGAATTGCTGGAAGGAGATATTCAATTTTGTTACATTCAAAGGCAGGTCTTACTGTAAATTCAGTAATATTTGTTGCTGCTGTTTTCTCCTGATGTTTTTCTTTCCTAGAAAATGGAAGAGTTGACTTTTTTTTTTTTTAATCAAAACTTTTTCTATTGAAATGAAATTTCTGACTTTTGCAGACAGTCTAGGAGTCTAAGAGATGATAGCTTCTTTTTCTAAGGAACACCTTTCTTAAGGAAAACCTTGCTGATGCTGGACTTGAAGCCATTTGCCACTTATCTAACAGTGGCCTGTGGGACAAAGCCTGTGACAGCACAGCAACACAGACAGCTAATGGGAAAATTGGAATAAGAAGAAAAGTCCACATTTTGCATAGAATTTATCAGATGTTACTACACTGTAGACATTAGCAAATAGGAAGTATTTGTATAATATACTGATAAAACCCCACAAAAATACATTACTTCCGAATGCTGTGGTGCTTATACACTGAATAAAATGCGTGCTTAGGTCCTTCAAATCCTCCTGCAGGAGTAACTGTCCTTGCTGTTTCTGTTTCACAGAATCTTACTGAATCTGTTCCACAGATTTGCTGTGTGCAGTTCAGGTGCAAATGCTTATAATCTGTGGTATTCTTGTTTTCTTTCCCAGATCATCACAACTACCATTATTGCCAATTGTATTCATCTTCACGCTGAATCTAGCAGTGCTGTGCTCAGTATGATTCCTCAGAGGTTAGTTATTTCTGCTGTTAGTGAGGTTATACTTTTGAGACACGAAAGAGGTGTTTCAGTCTGTTCTTGAAATTTGACATAGGCAGATTTTTACCAGGAAGCACAGTTATAGGAATAACTGTTCAAGAGAGCTTTGGGATCTCCTCGTTTCAGAGCATATGCAGAATTTGAACTACAGTTTTCTTTATTAGATTCAGATTTTATTAGCGCACAGAGGGAAGGAATTTGTGTTTTTTGTGAGGTGGAAGCACACCCTTACAAATTCAGGACATCTCCCGTGGGGTGGCGGAAGATGCCTCTGATGTTGTTCCTGGGTATGGTATAGACTGCACAGATCCCAGAGCAGGTTTAAACCTTTCTGTTCTCTGATCTTGTAGGTTTCTACCTCCTACACTGCCAGATTTATCAAACCTGAGCAAGATCATCTTGCATGCTTTCTCCCTTGCTATTGTAAGCTGCTTCCTTCTTGTTTTTATTGGAGAGAAGTATGCTTTGCTTCATAACTACAGCATTTCCAGCAGTCAGGTGAGAACAGAGCTACACATACTTCTTAGGCCAAGAAGCAAACTGAATTCAGCTTAGTAAAGCCACTAGTTACCTGGTAGTGGTAAAAATGCAAGCAGAGAACGAGTGATGCCAGCTGATTGTTTTGTATCAACTTGTTATTGTTGATTCTCTGTGGAAGGACAGATGCCATCTATATGTGAAGGCAAAATATGTCCAGTGACCATACTGACCAAGAGGCCTTAGTGTAGCTCCAGGGGTTCATACACACTGCTGCTACTGATCCCTGGGGGCCACTGCTATCCTGAATCTGTGGGACTTAGAATAGCACACAAATATAATAGCTCTAATTGTAAATGGCCAGAACAGCTGTAGTTCTTGTCTATGTGTGTCTGTCAACTTAGTGAATTCTCAGCCTAGGCTGATTGCTCTGAGAGCCTTTTAAGCTGAAGCTGTTAGTTTCCAGTGTGCTAGATTGAGTAAGCACTAACTGGTTTGCAGTACCCTGTTTAACTTGTTGTGATGGCTTTGAGTCTTCATTAGAAAGGAATTAATCCAGAAAGCTGCCCTGGCTTCCTGTAGCCTTTGAGGATAAGTACAAAGAGAATGTCTTTTCCATTGAGTTCTTGTGTCAGCTCTATTATACTGTATACTGAGATATACTGTGCATTAGCTTGGAAGTTTTGAGTTCTTTGTGGATTACTTTGTAAACAGGAACTTGACTTTTGGGTCCATGAGATTCTCAACTGTGAAAACTTTGTGGCTTTTGAGAGAAATTTAACCATGAGAGTCTTTGTTTTCAGAAAGTTTTCTGAGCTGAACAGCCAGCAAGTGTGAGCAGAGGTACTTCTTTTTAAGCCACTTCTATTTAGGTAAGTCATTAATTTTGGGTTCTCTCTACTTCCTCCTGTTTCTTTTTTACAGGAACTAATAGCTGTGGGGCTTTGCAATATTTGCAGTTCATTTTTCAGAAGCTTTGCTGTCAGCTGTGCTATTTCTGGAACTGTCATCCAAGAGAAGGCGGGTGGAAGAACCCAGGTGAGCCGGGCTAAAATCATTCTAGACTGAGTATAGGCTGACATTTCATCCAAGCAGTTTGTGAGAAGTAAAGTTATATTCCCATGCAGCATGAATTTGTGCTCTCTATGCTATGCACTGTAATTGTAGGATATTAAGGACATGATGTGCGTTTAAGGAAGCCAGAATTCTGTGGAGAGAATAAGATGCGTTCATACCATGTAAACTGTATTTTAGTGAATATGCCCAGAATTGAAAATTGTTTTGCACTTTTTAGTACTGGACGTTATGACCTTAATCTTTTTTTAAAATTATTTCTAAAAATTATTTATTTTTAGGAAGATTCTAACATACTTCTTATGAGTATTTGTACATGCTTCACTGCATCGTAGAAGTAACTTGATTTAATAAAACATTTGTGCCTGATATAGGCTGGTTTGTTTAGCAATGTGGATTAGTACATTAGTATAAGAGTCAATATATTAGTTCGTCAAAAGTAATCCATAAGTGATAGTTCAGTAGTTCTAAAACTTTCAATTTCAAATTTAGTGGGTGAGCAGTTTTGTTTTCCTCAATAATGGGCACACAATAGAATACTTTTATTGTTTGCACCCAGGAGGTGCAGGGACATTTTTCTTGGATTCCACATATATTGTTTTAATAGTGGCTCCCTAGGCCCAATAAGCAATGGAAATTTTCCAAAGTGGGGAAAAGCAGCTGAAGGTGGAGTCAAAGGTCTCAGCGATGAAGCTGATGGTGGAAAGCAGGAAAGAAGTAGGTGAGCACTTGACTACTCTAGATACCACTGAGCAGGCCCAAAGGGACATTAGCATATGTTAATACATCCTTGGGAAAGAATGAATATTGTGCCAGTGTACTGCATGTGGGTGTCTTAACTGTTTAAATGTAGAACCTGAACTCTGAGAGAGCTTCCTTGTTTGTCAAGTCGCACAGTGCGTATCATGAGGAATAAAGGAACGCTGCTTTCTAAGACCACATTGGGGTTAGAGAGTTTTCTTCCTGGATTTCGGATGGCGTTCTTAAGGCTGACTTGCAAGAGAAATATCTTCTTTTTCAAATTAAACTATCAAATCAAAATCCTGTGTTGTTGTACATAAGAATAGCCCATTTAGGACAAATTTGTGTCTACAGAAGCCTTTTGACATGAGCATTCTGGAATCCATATTGCCCATTACAAGACACCCGTGGACTTTGTCTCCTGATTGCTTTTTCTATTAGATGGTGTTACAAGCACTGTACCGTGTTTGCTTAGAGAAGACTAGGAATCGGTTCTGAAAGGCCTCTCTAATAAAGTATCTCTGTTCAGATAGCAGCACTGATGGGAGCATCTATAATGCTGGTGATTGCATTGAAACTAGGACACTTTTTCCAGATGATACCTAATGTAAGTGAACTTGTAATAGTTATGGTAGCAGCCTACTTACTTTTAAAGCATAACGTGAAGATTATCCTAACAGTTGGGGTTGTAACTTTCTCTACATTTCATTGTTTCAAGGGATAGACTAAACCAAAACAATGACTTTAAATTCTCCTAAATTTCAGCATGGTCAAGTATTAGGAAATTAATACTTTCTCCCATACCCTCTCCCATATCTGACTGTTCAGCACAAACTAAAATTCCTTGGCTAGAAGTGAATTGAAAGTTTACTGCCAAGATCTGTGATTTAAATGTTGTATTTCACTTTTGGTTTCCCATTTTTTGTTGCTAAGGTGTGCTTTTTCAACAAATGGTGTCAAGCAACTTCCCAAATCTGTAAATGAACTGCCCATGCTAATTAAAACCATTCATTGATACAGCAGCTCCATTCTGTAGATAGTGTTGTCATTTGTCATGGTGCTGCAGGAGGCACAGGGATTCACTGAAGAGCTCTGCAATAGAAACCACACAAAGCATTTCAAGAGAAAGTCCAGTTGCATTGGCAGAAGTAATTGTGAAATCACATAAGATAGGTTGGTTTGCAGGTCTGACAACTGCTATACTTACTTATAAAAAATACATAAATAAGATCTAAATTTTAAGCAGTTTGTCTTGGATATCTGTTCCTTATCATGTTGTGTGTGCAATAAATCTCAGATGCAATAAATAACATGCATTTTTTTCTTATTTGCACAGAGCGTGCTGGCTGCTATTGTAGTATTTAACATGCTACCTTTTCTTGAAAAACTTCTGGACATTCCTACCCTGTGGAGAAAGGATAAGTATCATTTAGTAAGTGGCATAAAAAAACAGTGACTGGAATGTGTTTAAAGGAAGAAATACTTTTCTTTGTTCTTTTAGAGCGGGCCAGAATTGTGGAGGTACGTGTATTGCCACTGTGTATCTGCAAATGCAGGGCTAAGGACAGTAAATTGTCAGTCACTGCAGCGGAGTTAATGTGTTTTGAGGTCCTGCACTTCTTTCCTGTGATCTTTCTGTGTGACTGTTTTCAGGACTGGGTGGCTGAAAGGTGCCAGCTAGGCTTTTCAACTATTACCATTTCTAGCTCTTTTTTTTTTTTTTTTTCTTTTTTCTTTTTAGTCTCTTTAATTTGCAAATACTGGAGCTGAGTTGGAGGTCATTTTATATCTTTTTCTCTGTCTCTTGATCAAAGGCTATTTGGCTTGGAACTTTTGCTGCAGTGCTTTGTCTTGGTCTTGATATTGGTTTACTGATCGCCCTGGCAATTGCATTCTTCATAATCAGCATCAGGACACACAGGTACTTGTAACTCCTAGAGCAAAATACTCACTAGAGTTGATGTTTTAGAGATAGCTGCACATACAACAATGTGAAAGTAGTTTCGTGCTTGTAAACACTTTGGTCAGGTCATCCTGGAATCTGTCTATTACTGTCCCAAAGCAGTAACTTTAGAAATGGAGATCAAGGTTTTGGGAATGTAGCTTTTTTTTTCCTCTGCTTTATGTGTGAATCTAATAAACATCTTGTTTCAGAATGAAGATGGTGGAGCTGGGACAGATTCCAAACACGAATATTTATAGAAGTTTATCCATCTGCAGAGCCGTAAGAGGAAACAAAAAACAAATGTTCCACCTCTCTGTAATCTAGCTTCTTCCCTTAAGTGCATTCGGGAATGAGCATTCGGTTCACTTGGTTCAAAACTTTCAAACTGAAGAATGCTTAAATATCTGTAGTGTGAAGTGATTCAGATTGTGCCCCATGGAGCTCCCTGTGTCAGTCAGTGCTGTCCCAGTGGTGGAAGCCACATTGCTGACATTTACGGAACTGTTTGGTGTTTTACCTGCTTTTCTCAGTCTGGTTGTGTCCACACAACACATTTTCAGTAACTGTCTGCCAGACTGACTTGCTGATTCTTACAGTGATGGGATGTAAAGTAGGGCACGGGCCTTTGTAATACACTGTTGAGAAGACAGAACCATACAAAATTGGGTAATTCAGTAGTAAAGAGCTTTGCCACCTGAGTACATTCCCAAAGCTATGCTGATGGATTTGCAGAAATCAAATGAGGACAAGGTTAGAAATACAAGAGTGATGTAATGTATGTTTTCTGCAAAGAGCATTAGATATAATATAAAACTATGGATCGAATTTGGATGGTTATACCAGCCGACTGTCATCAGTGATAGATCTGCTGGAGGTCTTTAAAACAGGAAGAACTGATTGATGTTTCCAGATGAGTACATTATTAGTCCGTGCTGCCAGTGCTCCTACCAGCATGCAGTGTGGTCAGCAGTGTTACTTTGTCCTTAGAACATCACCTTGCAGTCTACTGCATAGAGGGTTAGGTGGGGAAAAATTGTTCCTACGAAGTACAACTCTCACAGATCCAACTTTTGTTTTGAAGGCAATGGAGATTGATGGTGTCAAAATCTTTCAGTGCTGTTCTTCCATTTCTTTTGCAAATATGAATAGCTTCAAAAATTACTTGTTACACAAGGTAAATGCCACTTTTTCAGCTAGATAAAGCTTCTAAAAGCGAGTATTATCCCTGTAGTAAAAATATTTTTGTCTTTCAGATGGACATGAAAACAGTGCCTCTAAATCCAAATGAAATTAGGGCCTTAGTTTCAGCTAATCTGTCTGACATTTCAGTGGAAAGCAAAGATTTTAAATGCTCTTGTGTCTGTGATCCACCCTTACCACCACCTCGGGTAAGCTTTAGAAGTATATTTATCTAATCTGTCTGAGGTGCCTATTTCTGTCACCGTGCACAGTGTCTTAACTTGCTGGAATTTAAAAGGCTATAAATGCTTATATATAGCATACATATATACATATAATTACTGATTAAAGTTAAGCAAATAGAATCGTTTTTCTTCATACAGGCTGTATGTGATAAAGCAATAGGAGCTCACCGTACTGGGTGAATTAACGAGCAGTAGAAATATTTGACGTACCTGGTGTGGAAGTTGGGTACCACTGGTACCAGCCAGCAGCTGAAGGCACACTGCTAACCATACCTGAAGCTTGGCTAAGTCACTTGCTACTTTGCATACTCTTGTGGCTTTCTGCTGTATTTAGAGTTACTTCAGATGTGTTTTTACCATGAGAGAAGAGAGATCACGCAATTTACAGTGCTTATTTACTGGAAAAAAATAACCTACTCCCTGGGCCTACTACTTCTAACCACTGATGTACTCCTCTCCATTTTCCATATTAGATACCATATACACAGAAACTGGTGAAGTCATATCATGTAGACAGTAATTCCACGTCATCTTCAGTTAACTTGGTACGTTGGTCAGAGTACGGAGTTAGACAGAACTGTGGGATGCTCTTGCTGGGAGCAGCTAATGCGCAGTCTGCGTCTCCAGGCATTAAAACACAACTTCAGGCTGGAAAAAATGAGGACGAAGGGAAACAAGCTGGTGTTTCACCGAGCTCTGCAGTAGGTAATACCTCAGCACAATTAGATCAGGAAGAACAGCCAGTACATTTGCCAAGTCCGGTTCACACCATTATTTTGGACTTCAGTATGGTCCAGTTTGTGGATTTGCAAGGTTCAGACTTACTACGACAGGTAAGCAACCTAACTGTGTGTAAATGTGAAACCTAAAGTTTACCCAGTGTCACATGTTTCTTGTTAGCCCACGCTGCCCAGTGCGTGGCCAGATATGTTCCATTGAGCATATTCCAGTTGACCCATTCAAGTGCACTATTTTCAGAAATTGGCAGCTTCCCATAAGGCCACTTTTTCAAGAACAAAAGCCTTGTTATCGACACAAAGGACAAGCTAAAACCTGTCATCCATTATCTCCAGTCCTACAATTGTGTAAACTAAAGCTATACTATAAACTATATTTATAAAAAGGTCTAATTTGCTCTTTCAATTTTGGCTGTTTCTTTTTTTCTTCTAGCTGGACACTTAAAAAAAAATCCTCTTTTTTAGAACTGTCAGTTTCACAATTCCCTCCTGTCTTCTCTTAGAATTATTTTATTTGTATTGCTGAATGCCTTTATATTCTTTTCCTTGATGTATGTCTTGAGGTTTTTAGTCTTCAAGCAGGGATCCTAGCCAATAGAGATACAGATGTAGCAAAAATAAATTTCATGTAGCTGTGCATCTCAGGCAGATACAGATGGATTCTTACTCAACTCCCTCAAAGTCTGTAGCTCATCTTCAAAGATTTCTGTTTGATCTACAACCTATTGGGAACTGTGGACTGAGCTGATGTCCTTAAAGATTTATTTGCCATCTATTAAGTGACTCCCCTGTTGGAATCTGGACTTATCTCCTTTTCCTTCCAGCTTCATATTCTGAAGTTCTGTAATTCTCTGAAATAATGAGTTTTACTGCTTTAAAAAAAAAAAAAAAAAAAAGTTGTTTATACATGAGTGTGGCATCAGTGTACATAGAAATGTTTGGAGTTAGCCCGTATTTATGAGAATCTTTTGTTCAAGTGAAGAGGTAACACTTAGCATTATGAAGATTTTGATAGTTTGGCTACTTAGTTCTGAGCTAAGAATCTTGGTTTGAGGCTGGAATAAGGACTTTCTTCAGGGATAAATCATACAATGGAGTTCTTTTCCCATTTGTGTTTGAACTTCTAGAGCATTTGTGTAAAGCAGAATTGTTCTATGCTGATATCAAATTCTCTCCACAGATCTTCCATATGTTTTTCAATATCGGCATTACAGTCCTTATAGCTGGCTGCCATTGTGAGTACAGCATTTGCTTATTAATATTGACTTACCATTGGGGATAAGTTTTAAACTGCAGTGAAATGTTATAGCTCTACTGCTTGGTATGAATTTTGCTGCTTTGTTTATTTTCTCCCATTTTTTATAGCCTCTGTGATAGCAGCCTTTGAGAAGAACGAGTTCTTTGACAGCTGTGTCACCAAAGAAGTGTTCTTTCTAACTCTTCACGATGCTCTGCTGGCTGCTTTGGCGAGGCATCAAAAGCCAGATGAGATAGAACTTACTGCAGAAGAGCATGCTGAAAAGCTACAAGCTGAAGATGAGATGGTAGAGTATTTAGCTTACATGTAAGCATTCCTGTTGTTAAATGATTCTGTCAGTAACTTAAGGGTTTTGTGATGTGAATGAGGAAATAAGGCAGAGCAGACGTTCTTCTGAATTTTCCAGTTGTTTGGTTGTTCGCAATGGACAGAGTCCTGTTGTCCCTGACTGGGGAAAGACAACTTTGCATTCAGACTGGAAAGGAATCCAGCTCTGTCTTGCAGTAGGGAATTGCTGTTGTATTTTAGACAGTTTCCATTTCCTGCATCGGGCAAGGACTCTGCCAGGGCAGAGCCGAAGTTCCAAGGTTTTTATTTCCAGAGGTTACTGCACCAGCTTCCTTGGGGCAGGTTGGAGAAGTGAAGGACAGCACTGACTTGATTTCCCAACAAACTGAAGTGTGTGCACATAATCTTTCTGTCTGTCGTCCTCTGCAATAATTTTTTAAGCTCACCAGATGTCTCTGCCAAGTTTGAACAGGGTAGACAGTTGCAAGTTCCAGGAAAAGCTCTTCTTCTGCATAGATTCCATTAATTGCCCCTCCTTGGGAAACAGCCCAACCTTAGGTAATCGTTCTCTGCATGCTGCCAGGAACAAGGGAAGAATGAAGGAAAAAAACACAACTATCAAAATCTGTAGGAAACAGGTTTCTTTTGTTCTGCTTCTTTACCTCTCTTATCTTAGCACTCTACAGAATAGTCTAACACAAGGTTATTGACCTTCCTGATACTCTCTCCCATAGAAAGGCCTTCACAGAATGGAGGTGACAGTTCATATTCACCACCTTCCCTTTAGTGCATGTGGAGGGCAGACTGTGAGCTGCTTCCATGCAGGAGGTGACAGTGGTTCCGCAGGAGTGTGCATTGAGACCATGCTGGGCTGGGTGTGCAGAAGGGACCCACAGCAGTGGGGTGATGTCAGCACTGCCAGCTCATTTCCTTGGCAGCTGGGTATCTGACCTGCCCTGTGCTCCCATGCCAGTGTGCCCCTCTGGCTGCTCACATGATTTTGCCTTGGCATGGGAACATGACTGGCTCAGCAGACTGGCCACCCTTGGCCTACAGTAATGTTTGTGTACATTTCAGGAAATAAATTTGCTTATGGAGAAGAATGGAGGCTTCTTCTCTGCAAGGAAGCCTAACAGCAAACTCCTGCGTGAAGAGCCAATATCAGATAACTCATACTCAGCCCAGAATGCAGCAGAGTCAAGCTCTCACCTGCAGTTTGAAACTCTGTCCCTTCAACTGAATTTCTAGGACCTCGCGTGGGACAAGGAATGGAAGTATAACAGCAACATGTGGATTACAACTATTGGGGAATTGGGATTTCAGTAGAAGGAAGAAAGGTACAGTTAAGCAGCAGTTGTGGTCATTCTTATCAGTATTTGATGCTCTTTTTTTTTTCTCCTGTTTTTATATTTAGACAGCTTGACTAATGCCTACAGTAATTCTGTGGTTCTTATCAAAAAGGAACACCTGGATAATTATTTTCAAGTAGATGGGATACTCTCAGCAATGTACAAGAGAATTCCTAGTTTTGGTGAATTCTAGCAAATGATTTGTGCGTCTTTTCTGAAATTCTTTAGAAGTTGGTTTAAATGCTTCAACTGAGCACTTTTTATGTATTTATTTATTTATTATTTATTTATTATTATTTATTATATGTATGTATTGGTAGTAAGTAAAACTCATCTGCCATATCTGAATAGATTACATGCAGGCAGATTCATTATCTTCAGAGTGTGTAGAGTGATGTGAGCTTCAAAGGAAAGCATTTTCTTATTGCTGCTCAACAAGTTGCTGAAGTTGATATTGTCAGCACTAACATAACATGAGTATTTCTTCTGTTTACCAGATTTACCAGAACAAAATCCCAGTAAACAAAAAATTTAATTACATTTTCTTTGCAGTCTCTTACTGAAATGGTAAAGAACGGAGGAATGTATTTATTTTGTTCTGAAGAGCCAGAAAAAAATTGTAGACTAAGATATAGGTAACGCTTAGGGAAAAAAAAATCAGCTTACTCATATTTTCTGCATCAGCCTAAGCTAGGGTTGTACTGACAGCAGCGGTGTTCAACTACATCAGCAATGTATGTCACAGGACTCTGCCATGCCCTTATTTGTTCCATGGCACAGACTGCCCTTGTGGAGAGTCACAGGTAAAACTAATTTTACATGAGGGGACAGCATTTGTCTGTAAAGCTGCAGTTCTGTATGTGTGATCTACAGTGGTAAAGGATTTTGGTGAGCTGTGCCAAGTTACTTAGTGTGGAGGAAACTGAGTGCTGGAGCCCTCATATCGTTTGGATTGAAAGATAGGAAAACTGAAAGCTCAAATGGTATCGAGTAATTTTCAAACCACATATGCTTCCCTGCATTGTTTTGGACAGTGGCTTCATGCCAAGCTCCTCTCAGCTCTGTTCAAAACAGAGTAGCACAAAACCCATGAAAATCATAGTCCTCATTTCCAGATTCTGTTGGCTCTGCTATGGCAGCCTTGATTTAAGGTGAAATGGCATTCGTAGCTGTTGGCACTATGGAAAGTCTCCACTACAAACCAAAGACTTGAGTTTTTTGTTGGCTTACTGGGCAGAGTTCAGTGTTTTTCCTTCCTACCATGTGACTGCAGAGTGGAACACCAGGGGACAGCTTGGACGTCAGCATGTTAGTTTTCAAATTATGAGCATTGTTGTTGCAAAACAAATACTTTGCTGACAGGAAGTTCAGACAAACCTGATCATTTTCCTATACAGCTGTACAGTGCCTCAGCTCCTGCATGCGTACAGAATGCTTCTGTGATTCACCAAGCACAAATCCGTGGACACAGGCAGTGAAGTGACAGAGCACGTACTTTATGGCTGAGGACTCCACCTGTACCTCTGAAGTCAGAGTTCAAAGGCCTGCCTGCAGTAGTGTGTTTGGAGGCAGTTTGATGTTCTCGCCTGATCTAGTTGCAACAAATACAGCTGTTTTGTGCAGACAGCATCTTTTTAATGCCCTTCTGAACCAGTACAAACCCATGACATTTTCCTAGGAGGGCATGCTGCAGAGTCCCAGGCAGCTTTCTCACTGCGCTGAATTAGAGGGTGCTGATCCCAGAACATCACCACGCAAAATGCAAAGTGTGTGCAGCCTGCCGGCCCTGCCTGTTGGCATTTTATTGACATACTGCTTTGGTACACACATGGCTGCAGAAAACAGAAGGTGGTAGAGAAACCTCAGGAGCTGCACAGAGTGTGGCAGGAGCAGTTCTTAGGCAACAGGCTGCAGTGTGTCACACTGCGGAAGCTATGAGGAAGGACCAGGTAAACTGGTTGTGTATGGGCATCGTTTGGTGGCATTCGTTCTGCTTTAAAAATGAGTGCCAGGCTGGCTGTGGGAAGTTGACTGTAGTTGGGCCTAGAGCTGGCTCAGAACCCCTCTGTGGGCCAAATTCACTGAAGTGTGATGTGCAGCATTGGCCACAGGAGGTGTGAACGTGCACTAATAGGACCAGCTGCAGGAGTCCCAGTGCTAATACAGGACAATAGATCCCACAAAAGGAACAGGCAGCCAATATACTGAACTCGAAGCGGTGTTTGTCGTCTGTTTATACTGTGTTTATACTCCTTTGAGGAAAGAACTTTCTTATATGGTTGCTGTTGGATGTGAGCAGCGTGCTCCATCATGCTTGAAGTCTCCAGCTCAGTGCTACTTCTAGCACAGCGGTTGTGGAAGGCTGAAATCGGGGACTGCGTGTATCCTTCTCCGTGTCACATTATTGCCATATTTTGTACTATCGCATCTCACTTAGAACTCTTTGCAGGGGGAACAGACAGAGGAATGGAACCTGTCATCCCCAGAGCTCACACGAGGATTTTTCTGCCTTCCAAAATCGCACACAGAGGTACCCACCTTTCCCTGCAAATATTTGTATCTGATGCCCGGGCAGCGCTGTGCGGTGCCTGCCCACAGTGATCTGGACGGGTCGCGCTCCCTCTGCCGGCATCCAGCAGGACCAGAGCCGCGGCTGCACGGGGCGGCCGTCGTGCCCTGAGCCGTGCGCTGTGAGGTGTGCGGCAGCTGTGCGGGCAGCGCGGGAGCCGCATGATGTTAAACAGTTGTTGACAGAGCTGGCAGGAGTTGTAAGGGAAACGCGTCGACGTCTTTATGACCAGTACTGGGTCTGTGCTCACAGCAAAAAATTCCCCAGCAGCCTAGCAGCCGACACGTTGCTTTTTGTGATAATTATTGAGTGTTAGTATTTAATTCTTCTCTGACTATAATGGCTACTCCAATCTACATTTCTGATGCCAAAGCTACAAGAGCAGCTCCAAAAGTAACACCTGCTATTTTATTATGTTGGGCCAGGATGCCAGAGGCAGACGCTGATGGTATGGCAGGAGAGGTTGAACCTTCTCTGCAGTATCCTGTTACATTTTGTTGTCGTGCATGAGGTAGCAGCAGAGGGGCAAAACGTGTGTGATGTGGAAGTGCAAATGAAGCAAGGACGTGTCACTGAATTCCTCCATGCGGAAAACATGGCACCAAATGACATTCATCGATGCTTGGTGAAGGTTTATGGAGGCTGAGCAGCGGCTGTGAGCACGGGGTGGCAGTCGGGGGCGTCTCAGCAGTGGTGTCAGTGGGTCACCTCTGCCGGTTCAGATTCTTATGGACATGGCAGGACAGCTCTTATTCGTCACTGGCAAAAGCGCTCAGCTAATGGCAATGACTATATGAGAAACAGCGCTTTCAGGTGAGAATTTGCTCGATCAAAGTGTTATTGTGCTCTCCGTATGTGTTGGAGCGTCCATGCAAATAAATAGGAGGCGTTATTACTTTCGGAGCCTGCGTTATTGTTCTGCGCCTGTCAGTTGCTGACGTCACAACTGCGACGATGACGTCGCACGCTCAGCTTTCCCCTCCTGCCGCCCCGCGCCATGCTGCTGGCGGAAGCGCCGCCGGAGCCCTCGGCGCTCCGCCCTGCGGCTCGCGCGCGGGGGCGGTGCCAGCAGCGAGGGGGCGCGGCTTCCCCCCACAGCTCCGCCACGAGCGGGAGCGGCGAGGAGGAGGAAGTGGGCGGGGCCGGCGGTTGGCGCGCGCAGCCTCTCGCATCGCGCATGCTCCGCCCGGCGCCGCCCGGCGCGGCGCAGGGGCACGGCGCGGCGCGCAGGCGCGTGGGACTCCCTGGGCTCCCGGCGCTGGCGGCCATGGAGCGGAAAGGTGAGCGGCGCGCCGCCCTCGCGGCCCCTCGGTCCGTCGGCCCCGCGCTCTCCTCACGCTCTTTCTGTCTCTTTCAGTACTGGCGCTGCAGGCCCGGAAGAAGCGGACCAAAGCTAAGAAGGATAAGGCCCAGAGAAAGTGAGTGCGGTCCCGCTCCCCTTCCTCACCCCGCCGGGAGGGGCCGCTCGGGGCGCTGGGCCGCTGCTCGCGGGGCCGAGGCGCGGCGGGGGGCCGGGAGCGGAGCCGTTTTGTCCCGGTAACGGAGCCCGCAGCCTCTCCCGCCGCTCGCTGAAGTATCGCCCTCTCCTCACGCCCCTTTCTTCCTCCTATTAAAATCCTTCTCGTAGGGCGCTCTGACGGCGTGGTTACGTCGCTGTCTGACTTTGATGCTCTCCTGTGGCCGCCCTCGGGCCGCAGGAATGTTACGGGGCCTTACATGTGGTGAGGTTCGGCGTGCAGATAGAGAAATTAAAGGATCTCGCGTGGATACTGAACAATGGCTGGCTGCTCGTCGTGCGCTGCGTGGTGGTGTGAGCGCTTTGCTGTCCGTGGGGTGAGATCACAGAACGCCAGCTTGGTTGGGTTGGAAGGGACCTGAAAGATCACAGAACCACGGAGTAGTTAGTTGGCATGGAAATAACCTTTAAGGTCACAGACCCATAGAGTGGTTTGCTTGGAAAGGACCTTTCAGCCCCTCCAGCCCCTCCCTTGCTGTGGGCTGGATGCCCCTCCCAACTCAGGCTGCCCAGGACCCATCTGTGGCCTTGAGCATCTGCAGGGATGGGGCACCTGCAGGTCTGGGCAGCTCTGGTGAGGTGGCGCCTCACCACTCTAGGTGAAGGATTTCCCCCTAATGTCTAATGTAAATCTGCCCTTGTCCTATCACTGTTAGGCCTTGTAATGGTTCTTATATAAAAGCTTTGGTGCAGGGGGTTCTGGGTATCTTTCTTTACAGTGCGTTCTTAGTCACTTCCTCTGACAAATTGTGCTGTTTTAGAGTTTTTCTCTTGGTTTCTGTCTCCAGACATTCACTTGTTCTGAGAGGGCTCTGGAAAGGTGAAGGGCTGAACTCAGCTCTTTGGGAGATGTGCGTTATATTTCCACAGTTTTATAGTTGTGCTGTGTGTCTTTTGAAGATACCATCAGGATAGTTTTTTGAGAGCTCTGCTATAATGCTGTGTCCTCATTTCTGAGTGAACAGCGACTTGTTTTGTTCTGGACTTACCTACTTTCCTTTTTTCTCTTGTCCAGCTGCAAACACGCAGTGCTGAGCACCGCCAGTGCTCGTGGTTGCAAAGGCTGTTTTCTATGTAGTGTGGATGTTGTTGAACAGTAACTTCCAGTGACGTATTTTTATTTATTTTTAAACACACTTCACAACCACACAATGGCTGTAGCTACTTACAACACTGCTGACTGATTTTGCCACTAACTTTGATTGGAGAACTGTGCTATTTGGAAAATGGTGTGCGTATTTTCTTAAACTTCTGCTTCGGTGCTTTTTCAAGCAGCATATTCGGTGGTTTCTACCTCTGAAGTTAAAGAAACTTGCATGTACTTTGTGCTTTATGTGATGCAATGAAAGCTCAACCTCCAACTTTGAGGCACAACTCCCCAGCTATTGAAATACAAAGCTGCTCTGCTTAAGTCTTCTAAAATAAGCTTAGCTGGGTTGTTGTAAGGCTCCTTCCTTGAAATCTAGGCTTGAAGCCACAAGGAATGTCTTTTTAACATCTTACGTTCAATGGTATTTGACTTGATTACTCATAAGATTTTTCTGTATGAAGTTAGTAAGAAAGCTTAGCACACCTGATTTTTGTCAGAGTAAAATTAAGTATTAAGAATTCTCTAATTATGGTTAAATATAAAAATACAAAACTAAAACCTTTATGGGTTTGACCATGAACGTTTCAGGCAGCTGGATGTTGAGATGCATTCAGGTCATTGTTTTTACCTGACTGTCAAAAATGCAGATTTTGGCATGGCTTCATTGTTGGAGGCAGTTTCTGATCTCTGCAGAACTCAGCACTGCAGGCAGGTGTGCTGGGCACATCATTTGCACTGGGAGGTCTGGAGCTGCATGGTGCTCTTTTGTGTCCTTGTGCTGACTTTTCTCTTGTGACTTCTGACGAACTAATCATGGAATTTCTGTGTTCTGGTGTGCTGTGAGCAGTGGGGAGCTGTGTGATGGGTGTTCCAGCAGCACAGGCTTCCATCAGCCGTGAGGTGGCTGCGTGTTCTGCGGAGCTGGTATGCTGGAAGCAGTGCAGGTGAGCAACAGATTGCTGGTTGGCTTCTGAGTCCTCTCCTCAGTGCTGTTTGAAGGGGAGCATTGCTGGAAGTTAACTGCAGACAGAACAGCTGTTAGTGGCTGAAGTAAGGCTGGCACATTACACTGAGTGTCATTTCCTATGCTGTAAGTGTTGCACCATGTGAATGAAAGCCTATGAAGTGGGAAGATTTGATACAAAACTATGCTGCTATTTAACCAAAAATGCAAATGCTTTTTACTGATGACTCTGGTAATCTGTAATGAAGTAAGCACTTTGTGGCAGCATGCATTTTGCTGGCAGGTACAGTCTGTGGCTCTTTCTGTCTCTGTGTCACAAGCTCTGGGCACTGAGCTGTTCTTTGTCCTGGATACTGCTGTGTCTCAGACCCAGGGTTTAAAAAACTAGACTCCAAAATAACTGTCTGGATTGAGAGCAGTTAGACAAGAAACAGAACAAATAGTTCCGTATTACAACTCATTTTTTCTGAATTGAGTAAAATGAGCATCTTAATAAAACCAGGCTGTGAGTCTGTGTGCTGCCTGGTTCATTGGGTATTTCATCAAGTCTAATGTTTTGCTTTAGCAGTGTCTTTTATATTCCAGGAAAACAGAAACAGCAGCAGCTGTGTGTGGGGAATGAGGGGGATGAACTGATTGTTCCTTAGAGCAGTACTCTGTACTGCTGTAAGCATGACTAACTGCAGAGGTAACGGCAGCCATAAAGCTATGGTGTGTGGCATGTTCTGAGAAACATGCATTTGCAGTGCTTTCTTCTGACGGAGTGCCTGGTGCCTCGGTCTGATTCTTGGGCTCTGCTGAGTAGGAGACGTTTTTCACAGTTCCTCCAACCGGTCCTCCGGCTGCCTCTGCTGGAGGAGGGAGGGCAGTGCAGGGCTCAGCTAAGGCAGTGCAACCTCTCCCTCTTCCCACATGGGTGCACTATTCAGCATCTTCAAGCAGATGGGTTTACAGATATCTGTAATCTGGGCAGACTTTTACAGTGTGGTGAAACCTATCTTTTTTTTCTTCCTCTCCAACTGAACAACAGTAGAATTGCTGGATGAGGAGCAATCAGGAAGCTGGTAATCTTTGTGCGCTCTGGGATGAAGAAAGTTCCTACTAGCGTCTCCAGTACTTTCAGTTTATTTCTGCATGTCTTTCTTGCGTCACTTTGTTGTTGCCTTTGGAGAGTCCTGGAGGTCTGGCAGCCCTCTTGGTCCTTCATTTGCTTCTGGAAGGCTTTTCCTGGGACCAGGATCTCAGGTTATGTTTTTCCCACTTGTCTCTCATTGTTAATACCAGAGCTGCATTTCTTGTAAGTATTTTGGACGTACATCTAAAGCAGAGTCAGAACTTGATGCCTCGCCCACAAGATTTTTCATTCAAATACAGCAGTCATGACCAGACTTCTGCATGGCAGGATGTAAGCTCTGCTGGTTTCCATGGAAGTCCCTCGGGTTGTGTTGCTGGAATAGCAAATAATTCTGCAAACAGCTTGTTAAGTGCTTGCGTGGGGGAGTGGGTATGGGGAGCGAGAAACTTAATTGCCTCTGTTGTTTGTACATTAGTGCCATTCTCATGTGAAATGCTTTATTACTTATCTTCAAACTGAACTCCCACCATCTACTGAACAGAAGTATATATTGGTGCCTCCGTGCTCGGTTCTTTCAGAATGGAATGTTCTGTCTCTGATCCCGTAAGCTCTCAGCAGTGGTATTCCTGCACACCTCAGCTGCGCAGTGATCGACCTGCAGCAGTGAGCGTGGCAGATCTGCCCTCCTAGCAGCAAATGCCGGTTCTTCATTCAGAAAAACAGGGATGGAAGAGTGAAGGAATTGTGTAGAATTGCAAAATAACGTGGATTGTGCGCACGTGTGCACAAGAACTTCTTTAGTGAGGTGACGGAGCACTGGAACAGGCCGCCCAGGGAGGTGGTGGAGTCTCCTTCTCTGCAGATATTCAAGACCTGATTGGACACCTACTTGTGCGTCCTGGTGTAGGGAACTGCTTTGGTAGGGGGTTGGAGTCGATGATCTCTGGAGGTCTCTTCCAACCCCTACGATTCTGTGATTATAGGTTCAAAACTCCTGTACAAATATGGCTCCCAAAAATTCCCTCAAATATGTGTATTTTAAAAAGGGTAGAAAGAGTCAAATGCATACAAGAAAGAAAGTACTTCTTATAATTTCAGGGTTTGCTTGCAGATCTTCTACATTTAAGCACATTGGAGGCTGGCATCAGAAGTAGCCGTTTATCTGACTAGATGTGCCTTAACATGATCCTGAAATTGCAGGCACACTATGGAGTGAGATGCAGTCTGGCGAGCACAGTTCCCTTAAAGAGGCATTGTTGTGATGTGCAGATGTGAAAATGGGGCAAGTATTAAATCTGGACTTTTTATCCTGCCATGTCGAGCTTCACGCTTTTGCCCCAATAAAAACAAGGCACCTTACAGTGCTTGAAGCAGAGTCTTGCTGTGGTTTGGAGCAGTGGAAATCCCTGGGTGGATGGTGAAGGTGCTCCTTCAGCAGGAGGCTCAGATTGCTGCAGGGCTTGTGCCTGTGTGTCCTACAGGATGGGGCAGATTACTCTTCAGTCTTAAATTCTCCAAAGTGAATTACATTTATGGATGCAAGTTTCACATGTGTCGTTTATCTCCCAAATAAGGACTGCTTATGTTTGTAAAGGTAATGCTGGAGGCAGCCCAAAAATCATTTGGGTAAGCAGTCATTTTCAGCTTCCTGCAGATGGGCATCAGTTTTCCAGATAGCAAAGGAATGACCAACTGAGATGAAGAGGATGAATAAGAGAAGTATTTTATTGTTTTTTATTATCACACGGTGGTTTGAAGACAAGGAAATATACCTGTTTTGAAGAAGTCACTTTTTCTTAATGGCTTTGAGTAAAACCACAGAATTTCCTTCTAGAAGCATCTTGTTACTGAGGTGGAAAAAACAAAGGAGTTCTGAGCTGTGAAGGTGGAACTGCATGCAGAGATTTGGAGGTTGGTGTGTCCTCCCTGGTGCTCTGCAGGGAGCGGCAGCGCAGCAGCATCACAGAGCCCGACTTTGCCCTGTGCAGGCCATGCTCGTCTCCCTGTTGTTGTTGGCTCTGCCTCTGTGCAAATCTGCAAGAGCACACGTTGTGTAATGGGGGCTGCTTCCTGGTTTTTTACCTCATTTTTGTAGTGCAGACCAGATTCTGTGGGAAGCCAAGTAGTGAAAGCAAAGTGTGTTTTCTCAACTCTTAGAAAGCTTTGTGGGAAACAAGTGATCAAACTCTGAGTTCTTCCGAATTGGGATTGCTGTGCATCGTTGTGTGAGCTTATAGGGTGCAAACTTTTCAGCTGCACAGCCAGCTGAATGGCATTCTTCTCTGAGTCTTGGTTTAGAAGCACAGAGCTGGCTTCAGAAGAACCCCTCCTGTAATAACCGTCTTCTAGCAGAGCTCTGCATCCGTGCTGCTAATGTCACACTGCTGGCCTCTCCCCTGTCACACGAGCAAGCAGGATAATCAGGCACAGGAAATGGCTATTAATTCCTTTACATTGCTGGAGAACTCTGTGAAATGATTCCTGTGACGAACACTCAATTCTCTGCGCTTTTTTTTGTTTTTGTTGATGGTTTTTTTTTTTATAAGATCTGGTGAAGATTTGCCTCCTCTCCCACTTTTTTGTTACTTCTGAGAGTAAAGGGTGCGTTTTTCTTGTAGCTCTGCAGGAATTGATGTGGAATTACTTCAGAAAATGCCTTTTTCACTTAGTACGCCCTTGCTGTGCTGTATCAGAAGGGTTGGGCAGTCGGCAGCCACCCCACCTTGCTGCTCGTCCCGCTTTGAATCCAGGGGTATTGAATAGGCAAATAAAACCGGCTGGTGCAGGAAGATGAAGCATCTGCCCAAATTCCTAATTTCATTAGAGGGAAGATGGAGACAGGTAAACATCAAGAGGAGATGAGTCTGTGCTCAACCAACCGCCGACACGATTGAATTTGCAGGAGATCAGCTGGGAGCAGCCCCTGGTCTCGCTGCAAGGCCGTCACCTGCAATGCAGTGCTGTGCATCTGCAGCTAGGTGGTGGAAGCTGATCCCTCTCCTCCCTCCTGCACAAAGCTCGGCGGCGTTCGGCAGGAACCCTTTGGCCATCCATGTCCTCCCCTTTCTCAGCAGTGCCATCCAATTTTTAATGGCTTTTTTGAAAACTGCTGGGCTATCTTCAGGGATATCTGTGTCAATGGGAGGCCGCGCTTCCTGCAGGTGGGCTATCCTCATTTATTCTGTCTCGTGAACTGCAGTTCTTTGGGCATTCCTGGGGGGATGAGGACTTTTTCTGGGGAGGGGAGGGTGGTCTATGGGGATGGGTTCATGAGAGTTCCGTAGGAATGCTAAGGCAGAATGCCAGCTCCTATCTTCCTTCAGCAAAATACTACTTTGTAGTTGTGTAGTTAATTTTGGTGATGAATTGGTACATTGAGGGAGTTAAAGTAAAACGTGATGGAGGTGTTTTCAGGGGAGAGAAAGTACCTTAAAATGTTTGATTTTCTTTTTTCTTGGAGGGTAAGCTGTTAACCATCTTTTTTTCCCAAAGGGTTTTAATATATTTATCTGCATCTTGTAGTACTGCTGACAGCAGTTTTCAGCTGTCATCTTTAAATCCAGGGCATGGATTTTCCTTTGCAGCCTTTTGTGCCTGGCAGAGCCTTACCTGCACAGGGGGTGCAGGCAGGTGAGGGCTGTGGTTTTGTGGGTTGTTTTTTCTTTGGTATTAATACATATCGGCGCTGATGAAGGCTCCTTTAATCCATATCTGCAGTTGATGTGGTCACTCGAGGGGAGGGAGGTGGTAAAATGTGTTGACATCTGATGGATGTTTGCAGCAAGGCAAGGAATGAGATGTGTTTTGGAGGGGATTTCATAAAGGAAGCAGCACTATAGAAATGTACGTGACCTGAACGGGGCTCTGTACTTCATTGCGGTGTAATGGGTTGTAATATACAAGCCAAATGCTTCATAGGAATTGGTTCTGGATCCCCAGGACAGGCTGAGCTGGGGGCTGCTGTGCTCAGCCCCTTCAGGATGGGTGCAGAAAGCTGAACAAACCGGCACAGTGCTTCCAGTAACTTCTGCCTTGGTGCACAAAATCTGTTATTGAAAGAAACTGTTATTGAAAAGCATTGGGACTGCAGAGCAGCATGGTGTTTTGTCTGCATCACTGATTCTGAAGAGGAATAATCTTTTGAACCCATTCCTGTTTGCCAGATCTTACACAGGCACAAAGTGGAAATCTTCAAATGCATTAGGGAGAATTACTCCGCATTACTTACGCTGTGGGTGTGGCTGCTGGCCTTCAGTTCCCCATTCTGACCTGTTCGTTGTTCTAGTTCTCTGTTCCCTGTTTGTAGGATTCTGTGCAGATTAGCACCCAGTCTCCCCTTCATGCCTTTTCTACCTGCTGTGATTCGGAGGCAGTCAGTGGCTGTTTGCAGCTCCTTTGTCCCTGGAAGAATGCAGCACTTTTATTTTAAGAAGATCTTTGTTCTCCCAACTTTTTCCCTCTTATTCTTTTTTTTTTTTTTTTGTCTTGTCTGCTGACTCGTAGGGCAAAAATGATCCAGGTGTGAAACATCCTGGGGCTGGATCAAGCTGATAAATGCCTCAGCCAGGCGGTCTGTCTGTCCATCTGGCAGTCCTGTTGTAAGGCTCAGAACCTCTTGTAGGGTGCCTGTTTCGTAGGGAGGTTGGACTCGATGATCTCTTGAGGTCCCTTCCAGCACCTTCAATCCCAAACCACTGCCTGCTTTGTTTATCTGTTCCTGAATTTGGCAATCAGCAGGGCATTGTGGTTTTGAGCACAGAGCAGAAGGCACTGTGGGGCGCTGTGGTTGTATCTGGGATGACCTTGTGTCTCCTCTTGTATTTAATGAACTTCAGTTCCTACTGTAATTGCTTACATGTTCAGTCACAATCCTATTGGAAAGAGCAATTTTTTTTTTCCTTTTTGTACTCTGTAGTTTGGTATTGAAGATAACCAAAGTCTTAATGTGTAGAAACAGAACGTAATTGATGTATGAAATCACAGCAGGTGGATGTTGAACGTGCGTTCTGCTGTGTAACTGCTAAAAAGTTGTGTTCGTTTTTGTCATGAGTCGATGCAGCGGATGTGAGCTGACTCCAACTCGGGAGCTGCAGAACCTGCCTCCCAGAGCCCACGTGCATCTGCGGTACCCGCTGGGGTAACCTGCAGCTGTCTCAGAATTTAATCCTCCCTTGAAGAAAACAAGTTGGATTTGAAATAGGGTCAAATATACCTACTGCTTCTCAGGGAAAACGGTCTCAATATGGGAAACTTCTGCTGATTCACACTGATGGAGACTGGGCGTCTGGAGTCTTAGAGGCAGCAGAATTGGTAGATGCTCGTTTTATCTCTGAAGAGTGAAGGGAGTAAAGGGCACGGGTTCTAAAATGAGGTTAATTTTTTTCAAAAGGAGTAAGGGTTAATTGAAGGTAGTATTCAAAATATCCTTCGTGAGCATTTAAATCTTTGGTTTTGTGAGAGCATCTCAAAATCCAAATGTACTTCAGAAGGATCCTCTCTGAACAGAGGGCTGAGGAGGAGTTCACAGGTGCTGACATTTTGATGGACTCCCTGAGCTTTTGACTCACACTCTTGTCTGACCTTTTCTTGTTCTACTGTAAAAGTAAATCTGGAGCCTTAAGCTGTCTTTCTTGCTAGCATATGAAAAAAATGTTTCTGCTGAAGGAGTAAAAGCATGTAAAAATGAAAATTGTTTTTTCTGGAGGCTGAGAAATACATCTCCGTTATCTACAATCTCTTATACAAAAAGTGGGGTTCTGAATTGTGTAACGTGTGCGACGTGCGCTGTGCCCTCTTTCAGAGCTGACCCTCAGCACCGTGGCCCTGCTGCTCACTCTGAGAACGATCTTCCAGAGCAAGAAGAAGAAATCTTGGGGTCAGATGATGATGAACAAGAGGATCCAAATGATTATTGTAAAGGTAAGAACTTACCTGTTTAAGGTGTGGCTTTTTCAATGTAATTGAAAATTTCATTTGTTTTCCCATCTGCTGCGGACAGTTAAAATTAGACTATTTCTTTGATTATTTTAAATAGTTTTTGAAACTGGATGAAAATAATCATGGTTCTCAAACTAACCTGAAACAAACTGTTCTTCAAGATTGCTTCTGTTGTCAGTCAAGATTTGGGTTAGAGAGCTGTTCTTAATACATGTTTGCTTCTCATCTGTCAGAAGACTTTCCAAATCAGTAAATGTAGACATCCAGTTTTTTTTCATTAGAAAAAATGATACTTTGAGCTTTCATAAACTGCATTTTCCAAAGGTTGTTAGCCTAGTGAACCTCAGAAAGTGTTTCCTGCTGCTGCAGTGACGACCTGCGCTAAAGATGAGGAGAAGTTGGTCAGGTTGGTCTGCCCAGAGCGGTGGTGTTGCCCCATCCCTGGAGTCTCCCAGGGTCAGAGCTGGAGGGGCTCTGGGCACCTGATGGAGCAGTGGGCCTCCCTGTTCAACGCAGAGAGTGGGGTCAGATGCCCTTTAACAGTTCCTTCCAGCTCAAATGTTTCTATGATGGGTCCTCCTAGTTCAATTATACTAAGATATTTTTCAGTCCAGCTATAGGGCTCAACACTGCTCTGCCTCTAATTTGTATTCTGGCATGACCTGGTTAGATAAACATTTGTATTTGTGTATGTGATTATAGATACTGAAACACATGAAGTACGTACGCCTCAAGTTGTGATGCTTGTTCCACATACCTTTTCTTTAGCACTTGTACAATCCCTTATTATACCAACCTCCCACTGTTTTTTCAGGTGGTTATCACCTTGTGAAAATTGGAGATCTCTTTAATGGACGCTACCATGTGATTCGGAAGCTCGGATGGGGCCACTTCTCCACTGTCTGGCTGGCATGGGACATCCAGTAAGTGTTCCTTTGCAAGAGTGCTTCAGCCTTTTTTTTGCCGATATATTTCTCTTGCATACAAGAGCTACTTACGATAATTCTGGAGACTAACTTAGGAGCGCTAACAGTCTCCAATTTACTTACCATGTGTGCATAGAGGGAAGAGATTTGTGGCAATGAAAGTGGTAAAGAGTGCGGAGCACTACACAGAAACAGCACTGGATGAAATCAAGTTGCTAAAATCGGTGAGTATGAGAGTGGGGCTCAACTTAACTCACTTCTGGGAGTTCAGGTTAGTCACATTCTTGATCTTTCTGGATTATCTTGCGGTGCTTCCTAGTGCAATGGATGTGCTCTGCAAAGTGTATTCTTGCCTGGTTATCACCTGAAGGCAAACGAAGATGACCCTCTTTTTTCTCTGCAGGTTCGCAACAGTGATCCAAATGATCCAAATAAAGAGAGAGTTGTTCAGTTATTAGATGACTTCAAGATTTCAGGAGTTAATGGTTCTCGTATCCTTTTGTAGAAGAAAGTCAAAGCTTTGCATAGAGGTGTGAGTTCCCTGTGTAGCTGTTCATGCCAGGGGCTGGCCTAGGCTTCCATTTCACTGCCTGAGGAAACCTGCTGTGAAATCATTGCTCTCTGAGGGCTTCTGTTGCCTGCAAAGCCAGAATTGTTCAGCCTGACGTGATATGCCACAGTTGTGGAGACGATGAGGCTTAGTCATGCCTTTAACATAAGAGCTGGGGGTGGCCACATCTCATTTGTGAGGCAGGTCTGAGTGGCTTTCTGGTCAAAATACCTTTCCCATCTATCCCAACTCTTCAATTTTGCAGGCAGCCTAGCGGTAACTTTTTATTTAAGTAAAGCATTGCAAAATGTCAAGGTGAATAATTAAAAACAGCAAGCATGTATGTGGTCTGTAACCTGATAAAGTGATTTTCTAGCTAGGGAAACATCTTACCTTGGCCTTTACCAACAGTGTTAAGAGGTTTAAAATGTATTGTTTTGAAAATATCCTATAATTTCATGAATTACCTTCTAATAGGCAGCTATTTGTAGGAAGTGGTACTAATGCATCCTTTCGGTTTGAAAGCTGGCTTTGCTTTTGAATGTTTCTGCTTTGCAGCATCTTGAACTTTATATCAGTGAGAGTTACTGTGCTGATGGAAAGGATCAGGCTGTAGGTTATAAAGTTTCTAAAGCTTTTAGAAAGCTGAGTACCTACATAATGCATTTCCTCAAACGTTCTTCCAGAACCTAGCTCTGAGTAAATGCTGGCTTGATCTTGTATTTCTTTCACTTTTATGAAACACACACATGCTTCCTGACACTGTAAAGGAGTAGTGTGACTCCTGAGATCTTACAGAAAAAAGGCAAATAATGTAAACGTTATTGAAGCCCGGGATTGCAAAAAGTTTCTTATGCAGGTAAAGAGGTGGTGGTTTTGGTAACATAGGGTAACTTGTTTGGAGGTGACTTATGAAATAGAGATCTGATTATGTTTTCAGATATTACTGGTGCAGAGAGCTCTGGTGTTGGGTTTTGCCTGAGGCAAGAAAATGAATTGTTCCAAAGCTGACATTGTTAGCTTGAAGCTGTTTCAACACTAGCAGGAAATAGTAATGCGCTGTTGCTTGTGTAGCTGGCCTCCACCCACAGCCAGGAGATTGCTACTGCTGCTTTAGACCATTATTGTAACCAGCTCCTGCTTTTTATTTTACATCTTAGATGACAGCACTGATGTCTGTAATAGGGTGGTGCTGTTACGGAAGCCAGCTGCTCTCAGCTGTGTCAGAAGGATGATGGTTCTTCAGTGTAGAAACAAAGGATTGGTAGATTTATTTCAATTCTCAGTCTTGAGAATGTAGGGCTCCTTAGGTCAGGAGTTCCATCTTTTTTCTTGACTCTCTTCTAGATATCTGTATGGTGTTTGAAGTTTTAGGGCATCATCTGCTGAAGTGGATCATCAAGTCAAATTATCAGGGGCTCCCGCTCCCTTGTGTCAAAAAGATCATCAAACAGGTATGTTCCAGTTCTGGCTGCAGTGTTCCCTGTGACCCAGTGAGAAGTTACTGATGATGGGGGCTGGGAAGGTCTTTTTCAGGTACGAGAAAACAGAAGTTAAAAATCAGTAGTATGTCTCTTTTGCAGCAAAGTCATTTTTGGGTTAATATTCACTTTCTCTACTGCAAAAATCTTCTGATACGGATATTTTCTGTCTCTCAAACCCTGATGGAATGCCAGTTTTGCTTTTAATCTCTTCTTACCCTGATTGTTCCTCACAAATGCAAGTAATTCTTAAATTGTCACAGTGCGGTGTTTAATGATGGACTAGCACGTGAAACCTGTTCTTCCTCCTGCATGGTTCCCTATTTCTACCTCTGAAATGGAGGGCAGAGGAGAGCATGAGTTTTTTGCATGGCATTGAAATTTTGATTTTCAGCTGTGCTAAGTTAAATAATGACAGCAAAAAGAGAAATTTGAATTCATAATTAAAATCTTTATGCAAATCTGTATGTTCTAGAACTCTGAAATTAACACTGGTCACATCAGCACTAATCTGGAATATTCTGAAAGACAGCCGTCCTCAGTAGGTTCAGACCATTGTTGGCAGCTATGAATTCTGGTTTTGCAAATTCACTCAATTTTGGTTTATAATTATTTGCTTTTCTAGTGGCCGGTTTCCTTCTCTCCTGTCTGTAGGTTCTACAAGGTCTGGATTACTTGCACACGAAGTGTAGGATCATCCATACAGATATTAAACCTGAAAACATTCTTCTGTGTGTTAATGACCAGTACATCCGCAGACTGGCTGCAGAAGCAACAGAATGGCAGAGATCTGGGGCCCCCCCACCATCTGGCTCTGCAGGTGTTTTTTCATAAGTGTTGGTGCTATTTCCCCATCCCTCCCCAAGATGTAACTGATTTCACTAGAGAAAACTTCTGCGCTAAGCACAGTGGAACAATAACGGAAGTAACTATTGAAAGGGCAAATGCAAATTATGAAGTTAACCATTTTAACTCAAAGTGCCTAGGAGCATAGTCATTTGCATAAGAAAAAATGGAGCAGGGATACATCCATGCTGAGATCTGCTTTTAATGTAGCTTTGTTTTTATCGAGTGTAGGTGAAGTGATAGGACAGTCAGTCTAGTGTAGAATGCGCTGCATGTTAATGCTGTCAGAACTACTGGAGTAAGAATATGGGGAGGTACTCTTAGCATTTTCTACCAAAGTATTTCCTTTATTGCATCATGCTGATAAAGTCCATTTTGGGAAGGTCTCAACAAAATGATTTACCTTCTCAAGCTGTCAGTTCAAAGAAGTCGGAGAGCTTTTAATAGAAATCACTTCCTTCGCTTACTGACATTTCTAAAGAGCTGAGGGCAGATTTTCAGTTGTTGGTCTACAGAGTATTCATCTGTATCAGTGGGTAGTTCCCAAGAACTACTGCAGTACATACTGAAAAGCTCCATCAGTCCTAATTTTAAAACATCAGCATTTCACTGAGCCCATTGCAACATGGCTTAGCTGGGCTAGGTTAGGGAACCATGGTATTTTAATATTTTGGTTTGCATTTTCTTTTCAGTAAGATGCATGATGTATGCAGTAAATGAAGCTGCATGACAGGAACTGTAAGTCTTTGATATCAGTCAAGCAAGTCTATAATCTGGGGTTTTAATTACATATTTGCTCATTTAATGATTTTCTCATCTCTTTTTATTCTTGCTTTACTTGCATAGAGAAAATGTTGTTACAGGTTCTCATAGGAAAAAGCTTATCTTAAGATAAGAATCTGGTTGCAGTTTTTGAATAGAAACATACTGATTTACTAATCTCGCTTTCCATTTCAGTGAGTACTGCACCACAGCCAAAACCAGTAAGTGTAATTGCTCATATGTAAGTATCCATCTACTGCATTGTTTCATAATCTGGTTGGCAGTAAAGGAGAGCAAACTTACTATAAGATCAAAAGGAAAAGTGTAATTTGTTTGTCATAAATGTAATCATCAGATTCAGTACTGTCTTAGAGATATCATAGTTCTGTCTCAAATATATCACCATCAATTATCTCGTTGGTGGTTTGGGGTCTGTTGTGAAGGTGACTGCTGTCTGTGCAGTCTGGGGTCCCTCATAGCAGGGCCAGGACAGAAATGTACTGATAAGAACAAAAGACAACTGCTCTAAAAACCTTTGAGTCTGCTTTGCTTCTGGGAGAACTGTCCCTGGAGTTTTCATCCCAGACTGCTTCCTCTGATGTTGAATACATTAAAACTTGACTTGTGTTAGATTGAAATATGAAATACTAAGTGAAATGTGACTGCTGCTTTGTAGGCTGACAAAATGTCGAAGAATAAGAAAAAGAAGTTGAAAAAGAAGCAGAAGCGTCAGGCGGAGTTATTAGAGAAGCGAATGCAAGAGATAGAGGAAATGGAGAAGGAAGCAAGCCCTGGGCAGGCAAATCCTGAGGAGGAGGAAGAAGCTCAGAGCCCTCTGAAAGTGCTCCTGAAAGTTAGTCCACCCTGTGAAGATGTGGACAAAAAGAAAGGTATGGACCAAAAATATTGCTGGGGTAGCAGTGTTCTTTCACTCATACTGGGCATCTTTAAGAGAGGTGGCTCTTCAACATGTTTGTGTGACATTCTACCTGTCTAAAGAGGCTAGTCAATGTGGTTTTATAAATTGAGTTAATTAATGATTGTGTTCAGGTACATTTTGAGAACTCTGCATTTCTGAGGCCAAACGGCTTTGGCTCTTACTTTTTATAGAATATTCTGCTCTCTTCTCCTTTCTCATTCTTCCAGCTGAAGTCATCGTACATGAACAGTCTGTTCTAATGGAAAGCAGCATAGAAAAATGTGTAACAGAAATAAATTGCAACGGTGTGATACGAATGTCGGACTTCCCAGACTCTGGCAGTCAAGGGTCTGTGCGACTTGAGGATGACCTTCACAACGCCAATGACTGCGGCGACCACCCTCACACGCAGGAGAGCTTCCGCAGCTGTCATTACAGCCAGCGTAACGGTGGCCTGGAGAATGGGCCTCGGGCTGCGGTGTCGGACTCTTTCGTGCCCTTAGTTTCAGAAGATTCCATGGTGTGTCAGCCTACTTCCAGCGAAGAGCAATCATTCAACGAGCAGGAGATCAGCCATTTGCAAGAAAGCATCCGGACAGAGATGCCATCAGAGGACGAGAATGAGAATAATAGCCCAGCAGACAACAAAGGTACAAGAGGAGCCACGTGAGAAAGGGCTCCTTTCTCCTTGATGTGGGAGACCTGGTACAACACTATCAGCATAGTGATAGAAACCACCTTTTTGTAGGCTGAAGTTATAAGAACAAGTTATTTGAACCTTTTTCTGCCAGGAGTAATTAACCTGACAGTCTTACTCTGAAACTGTCATTTGTACCTTCCAGTTGTGGCTGTAGCTCAGTTCTGGCTATTGAATCCTCAAATGCTTCCACTGAAAAAATACGTTTGTATTTCAGTATAGGAACACTCTTTCCTTGAAAAAGTATTCCTTGTGTGATTTTTGAGTATAGTTAGGAACTTAAGTTTACTTGTCACTGGCTCTTCCATTGTAGGCTAGGTAGTTAGGTGTCTTTGGATAGCTGTTCTCCACAATATGAGCAGAACTAACTTCTCTCAGTTACTTGAGATGAGGACATAGTTTCCCAGAACTGGAAAGTCTGAAACAAAGGTTATACAGGGGGGGAAAAAATGCTTCAATAATTTTGTTCAAAGTGATTTAAGGGGGGGAGGAGAAGCTACAAGGCATGTGGGTTTACGAAAAGATTCGACAGTCAGTAATGTGCTGCAGTTAACAATAAACAACATGGAATGACTTTTAAGAAATTGAATCAACTGATGAATCTCTCTTTTTTTGCATATTTGAGTGAGGGTCGGGTCAAGAATATCTGCTTGGAATTGGAGGGAGAAGCTCACACTTGTAATTCTCTTAAATTTCTCAGTAGCACTTTCTTGGCAGAGCACTGCTACAGAATTATGTGAAAAAGCAGCAAGTGAAACTTAAGATACTGACATTTTGGCTGCATGTAGTTGAATGGCCCTGTTAGATTACTAGCTTTGCTTCATAGAACTCTCCCCATCTTGCATTCACGATCTGCAGCTGGATGTAATTTAGTGAGCCAATACTGTTGCTCTCCACCAGGTTCAGTGAGGTGTTTTTTTTTCCAGTATATACTTCAGCTGCTGCAACTGTCTGTGTTACTCCAGTGACTGATGACTGTCAAGAAGATGCTGCTGCATGTGGACTCCTTTCCTTCAAGGGTTTAGGAGGACCTCTTAAAGACTTGTGTTACTTCTGGCAGTGCCCTTATTTAAAAATCATGTATTGATACAGGCAAACTTTTAAGTCTACTGGAAAACAGTCCTCCCTGCATATTTTTGCTTGTCCTTCTCCTTAATAATGGTGTCTCTTCTTGTTTGCACCACAGACTGAAGTTGATTTTTATACTTTGGCTTCGGAGAGGGAAAAGTTCAGATCTTTAAGCAAAAATCTCATGTGGGTGGGGAGAGGGCTTATAGGATTTGGATGACAGATGGCGATTCTGTCCATAGAGCTTTAATCAGCTGTTGTACATGATGCCTCTAGGAAAATCAACTGCTGGGAATTTCCTTCTTAATCCTCTTGAGCCCAAGAATGCAGATAAGCTTAAGGTGAAGATAGCTGACCTAGGAAATGCCTGCTGGGTGGTAAGTTTTAAAAACTTCTCGCATCAACTCTTTAAATCTGCTGATTCGTTTGCGGTGTGCCAAGGCTGAATATATGAAAACAGAATCCTTTTTGTACCTGCTTGGAAAAGCAGTCATAATTTTAAACTGCTTGAAAAAAAGTAGTTGGGACCGGTGATCCAAAGAAAGAAATGATCCTTTAATGTAAGATTTCAGCCTATGTTTTGGGTGCCTCTTTGGTCATTAGATTAACTCTAATTAGGCCTTTGAACAGTGTCACATACAGTGTGTAGAAATCTGCGTATGTGAAACTTCTGAGGGAGTCTACAGCTCCTCTGGGCAAGGTGTGAGAAGCTGCTGTGAAAAGCCAAGCCTCATAAGAAATTTATAATGACACAGGAGGTATTTGTCCTGCACAGATCAATGAGAGAGCTTCTGCCCTTTGGGCTGTGTAGTGGAGGAGGCACAAACCCAAATGTTACGTCTCTGTGGGCATCAGGTCCTGTTACAGTCTCTGGCCATGGTTGAGCTGGTCCCCTGCCTGCATCACAGCTTGGACAACTTAGTTCTACCTCCATAAAATTTCTCAGCCAATTCATAGAACCACAGAATGGCTTGGATTGGAGGGGAACTTCCAGCCCACCCAGTCCCAACCGCTGCCATGGGCTCAGGCTGCCCAGGACCCCCATCCCACCTGGCCTTGAGATCCTCCAGGCATGGGACACCCACAGCTCTCTGGGCAGCTGTGCCAGTGACAGTTACTGTGGTCTCTTCTTCAACTTCCACCCCAAAAGCTTGTGCAGAGTGTTTGGGTGCTTTTGAACTGCTGCTAGGTTTTCTTTTCTTCCTTGAGCAACTGTGTGAGTTGTCCTGTGCCAGGGCGACCCCTGCTCCAGGAGAGGGGTGGGCCTGGAGGAGCTGGGGGCTGCCATCCGCAGGAGAGTTGGACTAGACGACCTTTAAAGGTCCCTTCCAACTCAAACAATTCTATGATTCTATGATTCTAAGGTTGAAAAGAACTGCACTGTGTCTGGCTGTGTGCTTTATTAGCTTGTCAAACCATTTCACTGAATTCATGAGTACGTGAAAGAGACTCATAAATAGTTTTATTCTTTGATGATTGTTCTATACTGCTTTTAAATGTTTGAAATGTAAAATGGAATAAATGTCTGTTTTATGTGACTTTTAAAGGGGCAAAATACTTGAGATCTTAAAGGAAAATAAAGTGTTTCAGACTCTGTTCTGAGTCAGGTTCGCAGTGTCTGGCAAGGCTGTCTGTGTTGCTGACCTGCTGTATGGTGGCTGATAGATCTGATAGAAAGGGTGCAGACTCTGAAACAGTTCTCCCTGTTCTACTTCTGTGGCTTCTTTGTGTTGCTGGGCTGCCTTACTAATGTCTCATGTAGAGCAGTTAAACGGTACTTGTAGGAATATAAGGAACAACTCAACAGAGATCTGCAGCTTAGGTGAAATTTAATGGCAGCGAGCTTTGATCTGCTCTGGCCTTTCAGGCTATTGATTTTTCTCCTTTAAACAATCTCTGCCCAGTGAGTAAAACGTTTCTTCTGTTTAGCACAAGCACTTCACTGAAGACATCCAGACAAGACAGTACCGATCCTTGGAGGTGTTGATAGGGTCGGGGTACAGCACCCCTGCTGACATCTGGAGCACGGCTTGTATGGTGAGTGCTGGCATCCAGGGGATTGTAGGCTGCTGCCGTGAAGCGTTCTGGTAAACTTGCGTGCTCTGTGCACTCTGCAGCCTGCTGAGTCACTAGCCAGGTCTAGCAAAACAAACAAACAAGCAAAAACAACCAGACAAACCCAGCAACCTTTGAAAGTCAGGGTTTTGTTGTACAGTGCTAGCAGAGTTCAAATAGAACTGTACCTTAATGTCATGCTTTGTTGAAGAGCAAGGGGACGGTGCAGTTCTCAATTTGTATAAAGGGCCTTCTTGCTGCATCCAGCACTGTTTCATAGATATCTCAGTATTCTAATCTCATATGTTCTCTGCATATTTGAAATCATTAGAAAATCTCCAATATTTCCCATAGCTATGCCTATGATGTTTTTTCGTGCTGTCATTTAAACTACGGAACGATTGTGCATCTTGAGATGGCAATAGCATACTAGAATTGTGCAGGTTATTCTCTTGTCTGCTTTTGTTCTGGTGAGCAGAGACAGGTAGAATCAACCTGCAGTACTTCTAGCAACATGTGAAGTGCATTGAAGTGATTTAATTTTGCTTATTTCTGTTTTAGGCCTTTGAACTAGCAACAGGAGACTATCTGTTTGAGCCTCATTCTGGAGAAGACTACTCACGAGATGAAGGTACACTTATCTAAGTCTTTTTGGAAATAGGATATGGAATACAACAAATCCTTCTTCAGAATGAGAGCCTTCTCTTAGGAACAATGTAAAATCATTTAGCCAAATCATCGATGTTAAGGGACTGCTGCGCTTGACCATGTGCAGTAGAAGTTCACATTCTTGTTCCTGGTATCCTCTATTCCTTTAACCCCTAGAATCTCTTGTCTTGCTTCTCTAACTCATCATTCCTGCATCTCTTCATCCTCATACTCTGAGTTCTTGTCTTCGCTGTTGTAATCTGATTTTGGGTGGATGCCCAAGTAGTTTCTGAGAGAGATTGTGTCTTTGTCCGTAATGTTCCAGGGAAGGAAACTGTGACATACAGAAAGATGTCTTTTGTGGATATGTTATACTGTCTTTTCTTTTGGAAAAAAAACGCAGATCACATTGCTTTGATCATAGAACTTCTGGGGAAAATACCTCGCAAGCTCATTTTGGCAGGAAAGTATTCCAAGGAGTTTTTCACCAAAAAAGGTAAAAGGAAATGAAGCAAATGTTTGTTTGTCTGTTTGTTTGTTTTCCCTTTGCCCCACACTCAAATAAACAAAAGTACCTTGCTGAAAATAGCTCTTAACAATAGATGCCAGCAAAGATGGCTCTTTTAAAGTCTCTCTGCTTTATGAGAGGCTTTCTCTGGAGGAAAAAAAAAAAGACAAAACTGCAGCTACATATAAAATATCCTTGTCTGCTTGCTAAAAATACACGGAGCCTTGTTACTTGTCGTCTTGGTTGTGGATCAAATGCAGCAGATTGAAAAACAGTGCTGTACATGTTTATCATAGAATTACCAGGACTGGAAAAGACCTCCAAGGTCATCTAGTCCAACCGTAATTTCTTCAGACTGGAGGAGGCAAGAGTTCTAGTGTAGTTTTCCTTCAGCATGCCCCACAATTTTATCTTCCTCACGCTTAACTATTTGGGATAGCTTTTTGAATTCAGTCTGTGCTGTTTGCTGTTATTTCAGTTATTTGACTGTTCTGCTGCCATGCCTTGCAGTTAACATATCTATCTTGCTTTTCAGGTGATCTGAAGCACATCACTAAACTGAAGCCCTGGGGCCTTTTCGAAGTCTTGGTGGAAAAATACGAATGGTCCCAGGATGAGGCAGCTGCATTCACAGACTTCCTACTACCGATGTTGGAGCTGATCCCAGAGAAGCGAGCCACAGCAGCAGAATGTCTCAGGCACCCCTGGCTTCTCTCTTAGGGGCTTCAACCCAGCGCCACTGTGCTGCACTCTGGTTTACAGCATAGGATACACACACCCAGCTGCCCCTTCCCAGATCTGTTTTTTTTTTTTCCTTGTTCAGTTTGAGCATGAAGTTCTTCCTTCAAGGCTTCCAAGATTTTAGATAAATCTTAACCCATTCTGCTGAGTTTGCTGGTGTGACTCAGTGGGGACTCTTATCCAGTGCGTGTCATCTTTGTTTTGCCTTGATTGGGCTTCACCAAAGACTAATTGACTAAAACATCAACTTTTCCCTGAGTCTTCTTGTATGGTATGCACTGTGTTATGGATGTATGCTCAGATATGCGCCCTTACCTAAATCTCAACTCTCCTTTCATCATAAGGAGGATGTGAAGATCTGAACTCATCTCACTGACTCAGGAGTCAGTTTCCCACTGTTGGTCCTAGCAATGGGGTAGGAAGTAACAGATGGCACCATGGTGGTGTTAGTTCCTTGTAGAGCAAAGACCTCAAAATCCTCCATCGTTTTCTAGGTGTCTGCTGTATTCATTGCTTTCAGTCACATAATTCTTTAGTTCTAGCTGCTTAAATCTCTTGAGATGAGCTATTTAAATCTAGATTTTTAGTATCATTTGCTTCTTCCTCTGAAGTGCCCTCTCCCTTTACTTGTCCCTCCTGTCTTCATAGGCAAAATAGTTTCTGAATTCAGTGACGCTTTCTACTTGCTCTCTAACACCTCAGCCTGTGACTAAAAGGTGACAAGCAAAAAAAGCAAAAGCTGGAACATAATCAACGCACAACCTTCAGCATGCGGATAGGTGCGCCTTTCGGCTGCAGAGAGGTGATGCAGGTGACTTCTCATGCTTTAGCGAGCTGTACATTTTTTTTTTTTTTTTTTTTTTCATCCCTTCCTGGCGCTTCTATGCCTTGCTTGAGGTAGTTGCACCAGTGAGAGTGGCCCTCACTAATGCAGTCTGCTCTGGCCCTTTTGACCATTCACATTTTTTCCCGGAAAGAGTGGGCAGCATCTGTGTCACAGCCATGCTATCACCCTCGACTTCAAAACTCAACACTTGAAAGCCTGATATTCTCATTTTTTTAAATTTCTTTCAGGTGATGGCCTTTAGGAATAACTTCCCAGATTGGGATTGCCTTTTCTTTTCTGGGACATTAGCACAAGGAGGGCTGGAAGAGAGCTGATGGACTTTCCTCTGTAGATACTGGTTTAGTTGCTTGTAGAGTTACCCCAAATCATAATGCTCTGTGAGATTTCTGTATTAACTTCTCAGAGGGGGTTGGATGTGATAAGTAAATGAATTAATTTTAATTAAATCTAAATCACTGTGGCGTATAATAGTTTTATGATGACTTCTTTAAGGCTTCCCATCCTGCTGCAGAGTCAGTGCATCCAACTCTGAAGTAAGAGCTGGCAGTGTTGAGGCTTCAGAGACACGTCTTCTCCCTGGACCAAATGGGGCTATGGATTCATGGTTGCTCTCAGAGCACTGAAGTTCTTCTAGGAACTCACTGGAGGCCACGCAGATCTGAGACTGTTGCGTTGCCGAAGCTGTCAAGAAGGCTGTTTCTGTCACTTTGTGTGTTGAAAATCCTGGTTCATTATAGTTGTTCATTCATAAACCTCTGTCATTTAATCCACTTAAAGAGTTGCTCCAGTCTAGTGCCTGACTGGGTTAATTAACACAGATCATGCTGCATGTTCTTTTAGGGGTAGGTCGGATTGTCTATGCATATAATCTAAAATTAATGAAGGTAACGCACCAAATGGGTTTAAATTGCTGATTTGACCTCTCTTTCCCTTCTATTGGGAGCTTTTCCAGCTGCGTATCACTTCCATGTCTGTTACAGAAGGACCACAGTCAAGACTGGATTCCAAAACACCCACCACCTACAGACTGTGAAGATATATTGGCAGGGCGAATGATTTCTCTTGTCTTGACAGCTCATCCCACCCTGTTGTGCTTCAGCCCGGCTGGTGCAGGAACTTTTCCTGGAAGAGCTTTGCACATCAAGAGCTCCTTCCCTTCCTGCTGCAGTTCCCCCTCCCACACCTGCAGGAGGACACTTTTTTACCTTGGTTGCTGAGGATGGAGCCAAAGTGTGAGTTGGAGACTGCAGCAGCAGCTGTTGGGGTTCAGCCTTGTTCCATGTGCTCATTCACTTGGGTTTGTGAAGTCCCCAAATTGCCATAAAGTGCTCACAAAGGATTTGTACTTGCTGTGTCAGTCTAAAACCTGAAGGAAAATACATTTTTATTCTTTCTACTTGGGTGCTTCGTCGTCTTTCTTTGTGAAAGCTCTACAATAAACAGACTATTTAATTACTCAGCCGTAGTCTCCCTGTGTTCCGTCTGCAGGTCTGTTTTCTCAGCTCCAGGCTCTTTAGGTGTACGCAGGTGCATAGTTCCAGTTCTCTCGACTGAGACTCACTGGGTTGGGCGTTGCTAAAACATTTTGTCCATACTATGATCCATTTTTTTTTAAGGGGGGAAGAATTGTTGGATAGTGGGAGAGGCTGCTATTCTGACGTGTCTTTCTGCCACCTCTGCTGCCTTCCACAGCGCGGAGTCAACAGAGGGCAGCGCGGAACTGCGGAGCAGTGGTGCGTGGCGCCACCTGCCTCACAACGGCGGTGCTGCAGCGGTGCGCGATGCCCTCACAAGGGCTGCGTTAAGTGCCCTACGAGGGCCGCTTTGTTCTCGCGTTTTTGCGAGAGGCGCGGGAGGTGACTCGGACAGCCTTGGCCGTGGTGCAGGGTTTCCCCTGACCTCAAGGAGACGGCACACAATCTAAAAGGCCATATTTTAATTCAGAAGTCATTTCCTCAAAAGATGTACAAACCCCAAGAGACAGCAAATCGTGGCCCCAGACCTCCCCCTATGGACTCAAAACAAACAAAAAGCAAACCAACAACAGCTGATGTCCTGTGAGTCTCTTCCCATCACACAAATTCCATGAGAGCTGAAAGCTGTAGAAAGTCCAGAGGTGATGGTACATGTAGGAAAAGCCACTCAAAAGGAAAGGACTGCATCTCCTGAAGTGAGCTAAGAGCTCCAGGCAGCCCTGGGAGAGAAGGAGAGCGGTTGCTGTTGCCGAGTAGAGCACAGCATCGCATTTTATGCTGTCGCCTGGCAAGGATTTACATTCTCCCTGATGGAGGCACAGCAAAGCCTGTTTCCCATTCGGCCCCAAACAAACCCCATCTGAATACAGCACCAGTAATCCTGCAGTTATGCTGGTGGCGTTGCATGTGCAAGAAACGTCAGAATCGCTGTAGCACTCACACAACGATCAGTGCTGTCATTCACTGCCCTCCTCTGTAAAACAAAAATAATCACTGTTAGTGGGTCATGGTTCTAATAATGCTCATAATGAAGGTGCAGGTGTGTTTTTCAGCTTTGTTTTCCAAAAGGTTCACCTCCCCCCACCCTAGCCTGCTGCTCTCACCTTTGCCTTCCACTTTAAAATCCGATGGCAGGAGGTTGTCCTGGCGATTCCCCAGCACGAAGGCCAGAAATGAGAGGATGAGGGCATCGAGGATGCCAATGATGCAGAGGATGTAGGCCCAGCGCACTGTGCAGGCGCCCAACGTGTATTTGTCTGTCTTGTCCCCACACAAGCGCTTCACCTCACTCGAGTCCCAGCCGTCAGGGTAGATGAGGCACCCGATCATCAGCCCAGTGGCTGCGAGGCAAAAGGGGAATGGTGTGTGAGAACAACAATCGCTGGCACTGGCTGAAGGGGCTTCAGTGTGGCATGGAGGTTGGGGCTCTGCTCCCTTTGTGACGGTGCTGCAGTGCACTGAAGGGACAGAGCAGCATGGGGACAATGCAGCGCAAGAGCAAAGCAGTGTGGGCATGATGCAGCACATGGGCAGAGCAGCAGGGGACAATATAGCTGATAATAAAACAGCACAGAGGCAGAATAGTATCAGGATGATGCAGCATGAGCTCGATGGAACACATGGACAGAGCAGTACAGGGACAGTACAGTGTGAGCACAATGCAGCACATGGAGAGAGCAGAACAGGCGTGGTACAGCACTGACTTCCCATGCACTGCCCAGGCCACTGCCCCAGCTTCCATCGTGCTGTTGCCTGGGCAACTTTGCTCCTCTCCAACCACTGCACACAACATAGTTCTCTCTTCAAGGAGATGCAGCCTCTGAGCAAAGCTGGAACATGGTGTGTTTGTGCAACATTGCTGCTCTGTGCACAGCTGGGTTTTGGCTCGCTGCTGGCAGCAGCACAACACGCTGATAGACGCCGCTTGCTCAGCTGCTATGGTTCCAGCGGGGCTGGGAGCTGTGCTGCCACATGGTGCACGGTGTGCCATGGGAACACAGCACCAACTGCCCGGGGACATCTCCTGTTGTGCAGTGCAGCTCCCGGCCCCTCCAGGTGCATTTTTTCCTCTGCATCCTTGTGCTCAGAGAAGTCACTGTTGTTGCTCAAATAGGTACCTGTGGTGCACGGAGCAAAGGGAGCTGCTCTGCGCTGTGCTGAGGGTTTGTCCCCAGCCACGGGGAGCTCCTTGGGACAGCACAGAGCATCTCTTACAATTCAGAAGCAGCTGCTTTGTTGTGTATTTAATTAAGCTTTGCTGTAGCCAACACAAAGAAGGGGCACAGGGAGGTGAGGGCAACTGGAAAGGAGCTGCTGCCCTGGTGGAGGTTGGCCTCAACATGGTACGGGCACAGAGATGGAACTGCTGCTGTTTCCTGGCTCTGCACTGCCAGACATTGGGAAGAGCTGCGCTTCGGAGACCTCAGCTACATGGAAGAGCAAAAGGAAGAGCAGACAGAGCTTGGGAAACGGGTTTGGAGGGATCAAAAACACTTGGTTCAGCACAACCCAACCCTTGTAGTGACCTTCCCCACTTTGGCTCTATGAATGGTGGTCACATAAAAGCTCTGAATCCAGCAGCAAAGCCCTTCCATGCCCAGCTCCCTCCAGGGCTGAGCTGCCCCAAAGCCTCTTATCTAAATCTTCATTTGAGCTCAAGCTGGGAATTGGAGCAAACCTACGCAGCCGTCTGTCCCCAGAGCCACCTGAGGAGTGCAGGGACACTATGAATGATGCAGGAGCTGCGCAGGTTGGGTTGGATTGGGTTACCAGCAGATCGGGTGTTGACCTGCTGGGAGGGAGTATGGGGAAAGAATGCAAACCTTATAGCTGACAGCGGTGTCCCAATGTTCCTTGAGCTCATGGCAGTGCCCACCACTCCAGGGAGCCCATCCCACACCCACCCCACGCCCACCACCCCATAGCGCAGTGCCTTTCCCTGCCGCTCACCCGCCGCCAGCTGCATCCAGGCACACACTTTGTAGACGGTGGCGGCATTGCAGAAGAAGAAGAGGCTGAAGCAGAGGATAGAGCCGATGATGAGGAAGGTGGAGATGCCCACAAAGAACATTGCCGTTTTGAAGGCACTGGAGGGGATGGTACCGAAATCCAGGGGGCTTCCCTTGCAGATGAGCTCTCCAGTGAGCGCATTGCCGATGCAATAGGAGAAGAGGCCGAAGTAGCCAGCCTGCGGCGTGTCGATGCTGTCGCCGATCCAGTAGGGCTGGATGAAGGTCACCACCATCAGGATGGAGAAGCAGAGCGTGAACAGGGCCCACAGCACACCCATGGCCCGTGCATTTCGCACGTAGTTGGTGTGGTAGATTCGCGCCGCCTCCTGAGCCGGCAGCAGCTTGGGCATGGCCAGGGGGAGAACGGGGGGGTTCGCCGCCTCCCGGGGCCCCGCAGCGCCAGAGGAGAGCGGAGAGCGGCGGTGGGGGCGGGGAGGGCCGCAGGGCCGGGACCGCCCCGGGGATCGATGTACTGCGGGGATGGATGGACGGATGTGCCGCGGGGAGGTGCCGCCGGGATGCGCTCTGCGCTCGCGGGTCCGGGCCCAGGATGAGCGCCTGGGGTGAGACCGCCTCCTTCCTCCCGCGGGGTGAGGCAGCCGGTGTGAGACACCCCCGAGATGTGCTCCCGCCCCCGCCTCGGGATGAGCTCTGTGCCGCAGGACGGGACCCTCCCCCGTGGGATTAGATCCCCTCTGGAATGATCGCCCCCCTCCCCTTTTCCCCCCTCCCCGTCGTAAGCCTCCCCCCTGACATGTGCCCACCTCCAGGATGTGCCTAACGGCCCCGGAATGAGCATCCTAGGAATGAAAGCCTCCCTGGGGTGAGCCATGTGCCCCCACCGGGGATGCACTCTCTGCTCATAGGTCCAACCTCAGGATGCGACCCCAGGATACAGCCCATGCCCCTGGGAGGTGTTCCTAGGACACATCCTGCCCCCATGGGATATGTGCCTCCGGGATGCACTTTGTGCCCCCACCATGTGCCCAGGAGGTGACACCCACCACTGTTTGCACCCCATGTCCTTGCTGCCTGCATTGGGGTGCACCATAGGATGTGTGCTGTTCCCCCCAGCAGCCCCCCAGGTCATGCCACGCACCCCAAACTCTGTACTCCTATGCTGTCATCTTGGTGCCCCACAGGTGGGGCACATGAGGTGCAGACAGGGAGGGGACAGGATGCAGAGACACCATAGGGCTTTGTCCTTGTGTCATTTGGGGAGGCCACTGCCAGGGCCAGCCTGAACGTCACTGCATGGCCACCGAAGGCCACTAAAGAAGGCCACCAAAGGCCACTGAAGAAGGCCACTGCTGTGCTGGCGTTAATCATTGTCGAGTGCTGAAAGCTGCACCGTTCCCAGAGCTGTCCCCACATCTCAGCAGGCTCAGTTCCTGGGCTCTGGGCACAGTAGATCCCCTCGTGGGAAGTGCAGCACTGTTATCTGACATTTGCTTTGGCTGAAGGAGCAGCAGCACCTGGGGACAGCACGGTGCCACACAACCGCCCTTGGAGCTGTGGTGCAGTGCCACGAGGCCAGGTGCGATAGGAGGGAGCATGGCAGGTGCTGACTATAAAGCAGCCAAACCTACCTGCACTCAAACCCACCTGCACCCAAAACTACCTGCACCCACCATGGTGCTGCCCCTCCGCCTGCTGCTTGCCGCGCTGCTCGTTGCCCTCGCTCTGGGCGCTCCCAGTGAGCAGGGGCTCATCTTCAACCTGGTAATAGGGGAACATATATCCCCACCATTCAGCATACATTTTGGGGTGCCCCAAGACAGAGAGAAAAACTCTTTTGCAGATGGGGAGACAGAGGGAGAGGGGGTTCAGTGGGTTTGTGGGGCAGCAGAAGAGAATGCGGCTGTGTGGGGTCAGTTGGGTTTTGTGGGGGGTGTGGGGTTCTGGGTGTGAGCTGATTCCATTGATGCTGCAGGACATTGGAGAGCTGTGCTTGCAGAGTGCGCAGTGCAAGAGTGGCTGCTGCCAGCGAGACACTGCGCTGAGCCTGGCACGGTGCAGCCAGAAGGCTGCCGAGACCCAGGACTGCTCCCGGACGGTAGGTGCTGTGCATCCTCTGCCCATTCCCAGCCCAGGAGTGGCCCCGAAGGGTGCTGCCCCACCATGCATCTGTCCCCACAGAGTCTCTATGGGGTTTACTACAAATGTCCCTGTGAGGCTGGCCTGTCCTGCAACGCCAAGTGGAGCATCGGGGGCTCCATCACCAACACCGACTATGGAGTCTGCTATGACAAACGTGACCCTACCACACTGCGGTGACAGACATGTGTCCCAGTAAAGAGCATCCACCATTGAGCACTGTGCTGTGCCATCATTGTGGGGCAGAGGGGACAGCACAGGGAGGGCTTCATGTGTTCTGTGTGTGTGGTGCATTGAAGTATCGGTTTGGGACACAGGTGGGCAATAAGCAATGAGGTCACGTCAAGATAAGGATGTGGGGGGACAGCTGGATGCAGCAGTGGAGGTTTATTGGCTGTCAGCACTACCATTGGTAGGAAATGCTCTCAGCTTGCCAGTGGGGTATGCAGGGAACTCAAAGGTGGTGGTGAAGCTGTGGTCACTCAGAGTGGTGGTGGTGGTGGTGGCTGCTAGGCTGCAGCCCAGCATGCAGAACTGCAAGCTGAGGATGACCCTGCAATGACTGCAGCTGCACCTCCTCCTCAGGCTGTAAGCAGCTTGGCCAGCCACAAGCTGTCCCTGAACAGCACCTCGTGCAGTGAGGTGTCGGTGCTGCCATGCACTGCAGTGCACCGCGCTTGTGCAAAGCCCTTGTGCAGCACCTCCAGCAGTAGCAGCAGCTCATACAGCACCAGGCTGATGGCAACTGGGGTCGTCCATGCAGAACAGCAGCAAGTGTAAGTCCACAGAGCAGCAGGCACAGGGCTGGGGGTGGGAGGGTTGGATGGGATGGGATGGGATGGCATGAGAATTAGAGATGGGATGGGGATGGGGTGGGGATAGGAGTAGGGGTGGATTGGGGTGGAGATGGGAACAGGAATGGGGACGGGGATGGAGGTAGAGATGGGGATAGGGACAGCAGCACCCTGCTGGGGCACACTGTGGTCCCCACAACCATCCCTCAACTCTGGCTCCAGCAGGAGGATGCAGCAGGCGATGCTGTTTAGCGTGGAGGCATGAGAAGGGCCCTCCTGCTCACCCAGCAGCGCCAACATCCTCTTAAGCTCCATGTGCTGCTTTTCATCTCCTCAATGCTCAGATCTGAGTGGCTATCACACCAACATGGCACGTGGTACCAACATTTTGCTTTGGGTTCATGTGCCACAAATGGGGAAAATGAAGCACAGGAAGGGAGGTGGCAGAGGGGATCCCATCCGTAGCAGCCAGGACCTTCAGAATCATGGTGGTGCTGGGAGGGCTGTTCAGTCCAGCTGAGATGGTTTTGTGGAGGAGTTAGATGGCCACGGCCACCAGATCTCATTTGGAGCTGAGAACTACCCCTGGTGCCCCCTAAGCCACATGAGGGGGGAGGGAGAGGGATATGATGATGTCCCTGCATCCCCCATTGCTGCATGTGCGTGTCATGTCATCCCCCACCCCCCCCCCCACCCCCCCCTCCGCTTGTGCTGTTTTTAACACGAGGGTACAGGATGTTCTGCTCTGCACAACCTCAACCTCCCTCTCTCCTCCCCCTGTCCCCCCCCCCTTTCCTGCTGGCCCCATGGCCTTCACCTCTCCTTCTCTCTGCTCTTATTTAACCCTTTTTCTTGCAAATAAATAAATAAATAAAATAAAATAAAATTACCTTTTGTTAACATTAGAACCACCATTTTTGCAAGCCTCACCTCTTCTCTTGTTATTTCTATGGTGACTGTTACCATTATTCACACGATATTTCAGCAGGGATCTCTCCTTACATCTCCCCACCCCGTGTAATGCCTGGAACTGGAGTTCAGGAGTCACTTCAGGTGCCGCCCCAGTGCTCATCCATCAAACATCCCCAGCAAGAATTGCTCTTGGGAGAAGGAGTTTGGTGGGTGGGCAAATGCTTCCTGATAGCACTGGGCCCTCCCAGCCTTAACCCTAACCCCAGTCCCAACCCCAATCCTAACTGTACCCCTCTCATAATGGCAGCTGTTAGCACCCACCCACTGGATGTACCCTACTATTTCCAGTGGTGCACAATGAGTGCTGGTAGGAAAGGGGTTCAAGGGCCAAACAGCACGTTGGGGCTGGTTCCAGTGCCAATAGGATTTGATGGTGCCATGGTGCCATGGAGGGACCCATGAGTGCACCCCAAAGTGGGGTTAAAGCTGCAGAAATGCATGCGTCGGTTTTGGTCATTGCATTGCAGTGTGTCCCAATTGCAGCTGGGGTTGCTCAGTGACTCCCCTGGGTGCACATCCACCACTGGGGTGGCTTTGGATGGAGGTGGGGCTCATCTGTACTGCAGGAAAATTCTAATCCTTGGGGTGACCCCAGGACCTGCTGCATGCACCCAAGGCTCTGGGAAAGGGTATGGGGCTGATTGTAGGCGCACCCCTCCACATGGCACCCCACCCTGGGCACTGACCGGGGTTTGCCTGAAGCTCTGCGGGGTTTGCACAGCGCAGGGACAATGTTGGTGTGCAGACATCATTTCCAACTTTCACTGTAGGGATAAAGACCTTTCAAGGAAAAAAAATATAGAAAGAAAAAAAATACAAAAAATGAAAGGTAAAAGGTAAAAAAGAAAAAACGGGAAAGCAAAATTCTTGAAAAGTGGTCTGGTTTTGCTCCTTTTGCCAAAAGCAATTGTTGCAGATTTTTCCCAGCCTCTCCTGTTTGGCCTTCACATGGGACATAGGGAGCAATGTCACCGCCTGTTCTCCTGCTCCTGTGTTTTCCTCACAGCTGGAGGTGGAGGAGGACAAATTGAAGGACACATTGGGAACAGCCCCTGAGCAGCCCCCCAGGGCAGCAGCAGAGTGCGGGTGCTGGTGTACCCCATCACTGCACTCCACACCACCACATTCCATCTCATTTCATCATACCCCCATCCCATCCCATAAAACTCCTATCCCACTCCCTCCCATCCTGTCCCATGCCCACCACATCCCATCCCATCCCATCCCATCACACCCCACCCCACTGCCCTATTATAAAGCAGGGGGTCATCACCTGGATATGCATATGGGGGTGCTATGGTGGGGACCCCTCAAACCATGCTGTTGGCCCTGAGCCCCCTCAGGAGCACAGCAGCAGCCACTGATGATTTCCAGAAGGACCAAAGAAGCAAATTCCCCCAGTCTGCTGGCCGAATGCTTTGTGCTACTGGAGGAATTAATTAGAGGGATATGTTGGAGGGGGGATGGGATTATGTTAGCATAGGGAGGGCTCCAGGATGGCGGGAGACTCTGGAGTAGGATCCTCCAGGATCAATGTTTTTAGGGTAGAATTCCC